CCCCGCCTCCCCGCCTCTCTCCGGTCTCCTCGCCTTCTCGCCCGCCTCGCCACCTTCTCGCCGGTCTCCCCGCCTCTCTCTGGCCTCTCGCCCGCCTCCCCGCCTCTCGCCCGCCTTCTCACCCGCCTTCCCACCAGCCTCCCGCCTCCCGGCCAGTCTCCCGCCTCTCGCCCGCCTCCGCCCAACGCCGAGCTCGAGCCGCGAACGCGGTCGGACTCGGCTTCCTCTCCCGCCCTCCTTCCCACAGCACCGAGCGCGAGCCGCCAACGCGGTCGCGCTCGGCGTTGCCTCCCAACCTCTGGCCCCTTCGCCCGACGCCGAACGCGAGCCGCCAACGCGGTCGCGTTCGGCGTCGCCTCCCACCCTCTCGCCCTCCATCGCCCAACGCCGAACGCGAGCCGCCAACGCGGTCGCGTTCGGCGTCGCCTCCCACCCTCGCGCCCCCCTTCGCCCGACGCTGAGCGCGAGCCGCCAACGCGGTCGCGTTCGGCGTCGCCTTCCAACCTCAAGTCGGATAGGGCGGCTGCGGTCGGACGCGCCGCGGCCACCTCCGTTTACTTTCCCGGTGGAGACCTCGCCGGGGACCGTGCATCGCCCTATCTCCAGGCCCCTTCCAACCAGGGTCGCGCGGTGTCCCCAAAGTCGGAGGGATCGTCGTCGCAAACGCAGACGCCTACGCGCTCGCTTTGGATCGGTCATCTGGATAGCTCTGTGACCAGCGAGCAGCTTATCCATGCTCGCCCCTTACGGAGCTATCGAGAGCTTGCGGCTTCTCCCCGAAAAGGTTCGTGGTCTCGAGTAGTATATTTGTCCGCATAGCTGAGCGATGGTCCTCTTAGGAATGCGGTTTTGTGAACTTCGTCGACATGGCGGACGCCATCCGGGCGAAGGACGAGGTCCTCAACCGCCTTGGTGGCAGCATCGGCACGCCCAACGGCCAGATGGTACGCATTGGGTTCGGGAAGGCCGACAGCGCGCCGCTTGCTCCCGGCAGGTCGCGCTCCGCGTCGCCTCCTACCCTCGCGGCCCCCCCTCGTCCAGCTCCGAGTGCGAGCCGCCAACGCGGTTGCACTCGGGTTCGCCTCCCGCACTCGCGCCCCCGTGCGACCAGCCCCGAGTACGAGCCACCAACGCGGTCTCGCTCGGCGTCGCTTCTCCTCCCCGCCCCCGCGCTTCGGCTTTGGCTCCTCCCTGCGCCCAACGCTGAGCACTAGCCGACTCGATGGGCCCGGCTCGGTCCCCCAGTAGCGAAATCGACAGTTTTGCCGTATCTGCGGCTTGTCCGTATTGATTACGTAATTACTTCGTAGTACTTGATACACTTTTGTAACTTGAATAGAATATGATGGAAGACAATACTTTTCTGATTATGAGTGATATATAATAAATAAATAAAAATCAATTTTGTTTGGGTGGCTACAATATCTATTGAGCATATGATTGCTGTAGAGTTTACATAGGATATATAGTTTCCATAGCACTAGTGTGTGAACTATATAGCACTAAGGTGTGCCCTACATAACTACTGTAGCCATGACAGTACCCTCTATAGCACCTATAGCACTATGATAGCATTGGCTGGCAGATTTCTAGTATGGGTAGCAAAGGACATCGCTATGGACCTATGGAGGCTATATGGCACTATGTAGTGCCATATAGTGATCTAGATTTTTTCAGATGCAAATCACCAGCGGATGAATATGCCTTTGCTATCTCGGCCAACTACTGCAGGTACTCCTACTGCAGCAGTATTGACACCACAGGTAAGCACTTGCAGTGATACATACTATAGTATACTGACAAGCTCCAGAATATTCTTTTTATATTCAATGCTCAGCATGACTGCAGTGGAAATGGCTGCAGAGTGGGAACTACACCTGCTAGGCAAGAAAGAGCTGAAACTTCTCGCTCAGTGGACCAAGTTATCCACACTGGTGATGATCACTATTTTCTGAACCTGCATGCACTGCACAATGCATCGAGGATACGGGAAGTACTGCCAAGACATTTAACGGCCCCGCAATGTGCCTTCCCAGATCGCCAGCAGCACCACCTTGCAGCTTCACACATATTGCAGAGTACAGGGCCAGCCAAGCGTGCAGACGCGCAGTCAAAAGCCAAGGCAACACGTGATAAGAAGAAGAGGGAGAAAGCAGCCAAGGATAGGAAAGGAAAGAGTAAGGCTACCACTCCTGAAAATGGTACTGAGGACGAGTTAGAAGAGGACGAATTGGAAGAGGATGAGATAATGGACATTGACCCATAAATTTATTATATAACTCTCAGATGGATACTGATTTGTGTTCAACTCATGAGGATGTCAACCAGCTCACATGCAATTCCCAGTCAGATCTCCAAAATATTAACATTACTGTACTATTTCCACCTGTTCACAACCACCCAGTCATGTGTATTCAACATTCAGAATGTTGTACATGCATGACCTTTATCAAGCTCAATTTAGCATTTCAGGGATACCATATCCTCACCCCTCATGATACATGCAACTCATTGGTCAAGTGCCACATCAACATGGCTGTGAGCTCATCATGATATCATTTTTGCAATATCAGTATGAGATTAGCCTAAGACTGCGTGTGCAGCAGAGCCAATCTCACAGTTAGACGTTGGATAACATTGGCTTAATAATGAGTTCAGTTGGGGGTGTACTTAGTAAGGTTTGGCTCATGCACGATCCGGGAACATCACGTGAAGGCAGTCACATCACGGTCACAGTCCCGATTTGGTAAAATTGTGGATGGGACGCAAGCTAGCGTCGCATCGAGTCAATCCTACATCGAACTATCATAGCGTCCACCCATCAAGCTCTTGTATGACGGAATCCGGAAGAAAACGATGCGAACGAAGTAATAGTTTGGGCTCAGTTACATTTTCTCGGTGTATTCGCTCTGATTTCGTGCGGATGCGCATTTTTGATGGAGTCAGACGCTTGGACAGTTCATATACTAGGTGCTAGTCATTCATAGAGGCCAGAACAGTGAGCAGCGAGCAGCGACGACGGCGAGACGGTGCCAGCAGACGACGAATAGCCTTTTTTGGAATGTCACACATATCACGTGATGTTCCCGGATCGTGTATGAGCCAAACCTTAGTAGCGGATAATCACACTTTATCACACTTTTGTAATGACTTGGCGGGGTCACAGCCCTGTCACCGTGACGAAGCTCTTGCACAATGCCTCCTTCGGGGGAGCCGGTATGTTCGTTCTGAATGCAGAGCTGCTCGTATACTATTCCATAAGATCACTCAGAGTTTTCACAAGCTGCATAAGTATCTTAAGACCAAGCTTCGCAATCCGCTCTCATTGACCCGCGGTCGACGGAGCGTAGGTGGGACATTTTAAGGAAGTAACAACGATATTTCTCATTGCACGAACTCCATAGGAAGAACACGGACATGAACGTCTCACTGTTATTGGTGTTGAATTACTGTCCTCGCGATAGTACTATGCTGCACTACATATTCTGAGTGCACAATTAGGAGAAAAATGAGCGGCAGCGATTACGGACCCCAGTCCGATCACCTTTGTGTATTAACAGATCAATATTGATATAAAAAAAACCCTGTTGGCGAATTCGTCTTCGTTGCTTTAATCCTGGCCGCCAAGTTCGTCGGCTGAGCATGAAGTCTATATCAGCAAGCGCAACTTGCTTGAATCATAGACGATGAAAAAGCTCACCGGTGAGGTCGTTGTACGTCGGACACAAATCGCTCCACGAGTCGGGGACCGCGACGTTCGCCGAGACGTCACCCGTGTCCTCTACGAGAACGACGGCGAAGCCGGCCTCGAGATGCCAGTCGATGTGGCAGTGGAGGAACCAGGGACCGTAGTTGTCAGTGACGAAACGGATCTATGCACACCGTCACGTCAGAAGACCGAGAATCAAGGACGATCACGGTGAAGCTTACGGTGACGTTGTCGCCAGTCTGGCCGGTGCTGATGACATCACGGCGGGGCGGATTGATCCAGTTGTAGTCAGACTGGCCCGACGCCCGCACGACGTCGAAGGTGTGCTAAGGATGATATAAGCACTGCCGACCTCGGAGAAACGAGGGAGGGAAGGGACTGACTCCGTGCAAGTGGAAGGGGTGCGGGCCGCCCGCAGCAGGGGCGGTCGAACCAGCCGGCAGCGAGATCTGGATCGTGCTGTTCTTCGGGAGAGCGTAGACGCTTCCAGTCGGAAGGAGGTCCGTCGCAGATTGTGCGCCAGAAAGAATTTGTAGCAGCACCGGAACGGTGGGAGAGACGTAGCTGATACCGTTGATGTTGAACTGGAAGTCGCCGTTGAGGTTGAAGTCGAGCGCGAGGTTGATGTTCACGTCTGCGCAGTCGACGCAGCGCTGGTCAGCGGGAATGGGCGCGCCAGGGTTCTCGGCGGGCACGAGGCTCGTCTCGACGAGCGCCGCAGACGGGGTATCCTGAGTCGTGGTGGGTTCAACGGCGTCGGCGCCGACATAGCGCAGGATTGCAGAGTTGATGCCGTTGTCGAAGCCCTGAGCAGCACCGTTGTTCGGGTTGGCGCGGATCCAATAGTTGTCGACGGGCTGGTCAGCGGCCATGACGATCGAGTAGCGCTGACCGGCGAAGATCTGGATCTCATCGACCTCGAGGGGCTCGTGGTTGACACCGTCAACTTCGATGATCTGAGAAAGATATCAGAAGCTATGCCGAACTGATTGTGGTGCTTTACGAACGGTGAACTTGTGACCATCAATCTGGAAGGTGAAGTTGGGGTCACAGCTAATAGAAACCAGGCGGAACCTGTAACGCTTCCCAGAAGTGACGCTGATAACTGCCAAGTCGGATGAGGGCCCTCCCGCATAACGACCCCTGCAGGAGTGTCAGACCAGTCCCTAATTCTGAGTTTCTCTCACTCACAGCCCGTTGATCAACGTAGAGTCAGCGACACCGACTGCGATGGTGGGAGCCACAGCATGGTACCAATCCGCGAGTGTAATAACGGTGGTTTCATCATCAACATCGTAGAGATCGGCGTTGGGGTCATTCGGGTCATACACTGTCCAAAAGCAGCGTCAGTACGGGTCTATCGGTAAGATTATCATGCAGTTTCGCTCACCGACGAGCGCACCACGAAGACCATCGCAGTACTGGGTTTGCAAGTGAGAGTGGTACCAGAACGTGCCAGCCTGATCAAGAACGGTGAAGTCGTACAAAAACGAGTTGCCACTCGCTATCGGGCACTGGTTGACGAACGCCGGACCATCAGCCCAGTTGGTGCCTTTCTGGAAGAGACCGTGCCAATGCTGCAAAACAATTAGACAGCGGCAACGATATAATGCGACAGCGCTTACGATAGTGGTCGTCTTCAACATGGTAGTATCCGTAAGCTGGTTATTGATATTCAGCTGGAAGTTATCGCCCTGGAAGGATCATTGTCAGTGTTGATACCGATAGAGAGTGGGATTCACCAACCTTGTTACCGGTGATGAGAGGACCAGGGAATGTTCCACCAGCGAGAACGGTTCTGCGTGGTCGTGAGTCATGCGAACCTGCAGTAGTGAACACCTTACGAGCGATTGAAGCCATCGGGCGAAAGTTCGACATTGACAATATCAATGGTGGCCGTAGGCCCTATTGCGGCGAGACCACCAAGAGCCAAGGATAATATCACGAATGTAGCGACAGACTGGAATCGAGCCATAGCAGAATATGTGGACGTTCCGTAATAGCAGAAAATAGAAGTCAGACCGCCGGGGAAGAAATCCCAGGACTGATGCCGCTGGGAGGGTGGAGATTTTGCCATCATCCTGCACTCCTTATATGCCTACCTCCCTGTGCTGAAATTCAAGCAGGAGAAGCCACGGGCTGCAGTCAGGCACGTCCGAACGTGTCACCGCCACGGCGGGCCCGCCTACCTCTCACCCCCGCCCGCCGACGTTGATCGCAGAATTCGTACGTGAGAGTAACTCTTGCGCGCGATGCTACGTTCCGCTTGGCAATGTTGGCGTAGCCGACTTGCCTTTGGCCTCGTCGGGCAGCTGAGAGCTCAGAAATGGCAAAGAGCGCCATTCGCGGCCCGGCGTCAGGAAAGCGAAGATGGAGACTTGGCTCTGAGAAAACCGTGTTGCGCGATCACCAAGTTACAGAACCTTCGGACGCAGCAACCCGATGAGAAGATGGTCACCCCCGCAGATCATGCAAGCCTGACGCGCATCAGGAGCCAAAGGGCCGGAAAGACCAAAGGCGGGAGCGTCCCCTGTTCGTGGTTGCGGTGTTGGTATCGAGCAGAAGGCGCTCATATTTGATGGACGTTTGAATGCGAGTCCAGACGAGGTAGTATCTCACCCTGACGGATGTCCAAAAAAGCTGGCGAAATAAGCTATTTCTCAAATACGTCGATATGAGTACTCGCCAGGACGGAGTTCACGAACGCTCTCGGGCGCAAAGACATGGTAGCGGGCCTTGAGAGGCCCTGGCCTCTCAGATATCCTATCGCTCGGGCCAAAGTTGTTCATTTGTGAGCGTCCCACACGAACACCGACGCGACAGTGTCTTGTGTTCGAGGAAGCGACGGGGGAGCTGCGCCGACTATTCTCAGCGGTGATCGCGTGAAATTCTAGTCGACCAGCGCTTCGCCCCGTCCGCCAGCTAAAGATCTACATGCTAAACATAGCCCCTGCATCTTCATGTCTGCACGAGCTGGTGCAACGAGCAAGAGGTAGAACTGAATTGACTACAGTCGATTGGCGCAGTGGCCGCGCAAAGCAAGACAGCATGCGTGGGAGAAATGCACATTCAAAGCGGCTCCCTCCCCTTCTTCCGATAACATCCGTTGCTCATTGGTTGCTCATCTCTTCCGTACTCGCGAATGTCGCATCATGATGTGCTTGACCGAACGGAATCTACCACTTACTACGTCTAGCCTTTCTGGGATTGGAGCTTGATGCCAGGCCTATCCCGCTGCACAGCGCTCGATGCACTCGACAGTATAATTGACAAGCTGTACCAACTAAAGGCCACGGAAACGTCGTGCAACTACATATTCATTGCCACCCTCACCACCGAGCCGGAGAAACTCAAATACTCGGGTATGCTTCTCCGGTAACCAAGTTCGATCTACTGATGGCCCCGCAATCGCGGTTTCGGAGATTTCATGACGACGTCCGGCTTTGTCCAGGTTGGTAACCGGATCTCCGGAGCGTCGGTGAGCATCATCCATGTGTAATACTTCTGTACCATGCTGAGAGTCTGAAGGCAGCGCTTCGCGGGCTTGCGTGGTGCACGCCCACAAGGCAAGCGCCCGATGTACCAATGACGAAAGCAAGCAGACTTTGGATGGCTACATGCGCCGTGTTATGAGCCATCTCAAGGCCGCAAGAGTGAGACTGACCAAGACCCCATGCCGACTGGTAGAAGTACGTACAGCAGTCCTCGTAAGGTTGAAACTAATGTTAAACGACAGCTGCACCGTGCGCTACCCCTACCACTGGTAGAGCGGTGTCCTCTTTCATATCAGACTTGCGGATCCGGATAAAGATTTTATCCCGTTCCGACGATCGGTCGATCCTCGCGCTTCCCTGCTGCTTGGCTTCCGATTCCGCACCATACAACGTGCGTCTACCGTTGGTCTTCCCTTTATAGGGCATGCGTACCCACACGCCATTGCATCTGGTCTGCAGAAGTCCAGCTTTGGCCCTTGCGCAACTGAGCGCGAATGAGCGGTGGCCGCAGAGCGCCTTGTGATCGTGCACATGTCCGCGATGATGCAAATCCTTGCGTATTTGGCACCTTTTAGATGGTGATGCCGAATCATATAAATCCAGCATGAATCGTCCTGCCTTTCTGTGCGCACCGTCAATCCGCCATCGTTTGGAAACGTCTTGCTCAACAATCCCAACTCGATATGAAGCTTTCCTTGATCTATGTGGCCGCGCTGTTCTCTGCGGTTTACGCCATGCCCGTACGTCTCCTTCGCACTCCTCCCCGTGTCATATCCTTTGACATTGGCCCGTAGAACCCTTCTCCGACCGTCGAGGCGACCGGGACGATCACTGACACCGCCATCCCCGCCACCTTCACCGCTACCAAGAAGTACTTCACGCTCACGGACCACGCGCCATGGATGATTGAGCAGACTACGGTCATCACCTGGACCGTGACCGCGTTGCCGAGCTCAACCGGTGCTGCCTAATCCTGGATGAGCTTGGGACCTCATCTTGACGGTAAGTGTCTGGTTTACCCGTTGGTCCTCTGGCTCATAGAACCTTCTATAGTGTCAACCGCCTCGTTTGAGTGGAGTGGTGTTATTACGCATGAATGTTGACTCAGTGCTTGGCGTTAGCAATCAATCCGGAAAACTTTATCATAACCACAGGGCTGCGATTGACCTTCATACAACGGACAGATCTTCCTCTCTCTTTCGCCATAATAAGGGTAGGGTTAGGGTTACCGGTCCGTCGGTCACGAGAGCCTCTGAGTCTGACGGCGTCCTTGACCTCTTGGCGTCGTCAATATAACGCTTTCATACTCCTCGGCCTAGTTCTCGGCGAAGGACCCCATGAGCTGAGACGAACACGCTTGGACTTTCCCCTCACCATTTGTCTGGGAATGTCCCGCGAAACCGAGCGACTACATCTCACACTGGCGGTCGCAGTTCGCTCAACTCCGGATCCAGCACTCTTTCATCGTTCGACCTTGGCAGTCGTCAAGAGCTTCGCGAGGCTGAAACCGTTCTCCTTCACACACTGACTTTTGACGCGCCTCCAGCATCCTTCAAACGAGTAGAGTAATTATGTCGAATTTCCTCTTGCCGTTCCACAAGAAGATCCTCGAGGAGGTCCACTCGCCGGAGACGAGCGACCTTTTACTTCTGGCGCGCGGTCTGGGACTGAGGAAGCTAGTGTGCTATCTCCTGAAGATATACGACTCACCCCAGAGTCTCGTCTTATTGGTCAACGCTACCGACGAAGAGGTTGGCGGTATTGGGGAGGAGTTGGGTGTGATGGGATGTCGAAGACCGGGTCTGCGAGCTGTCGGTTATGAGATGGGGAAGAAGGAGAGGTGCGAGTCCTGTTACTTACCACGAGACCGGAAGGGATAACTTGAGGTCCTCAGACAAGACCTCTACAAAAGAGGCGGGCTTATCTGCGTGACTTCGCGTATTCTCGTCGTGGATATGCTTCAAGGAGACATACCCACCGAACTGATCACCGGAATACTCGTTCTACATGCAGAAAGGTGCGTGCACGCTCTCTTCGCACTGTATCTGCTACTGACGGTTTATTCAGGGTTACCGCCCTTTCACTCGAAGCATTCATCGTCCGCCTCTATCGTGAACGGAACACTACCGGCTTCCTCAAAGCATTCACTGATCAACCGGAACATATCACCTCCGGATTGTCCCCACTGAAGAACATTATGAAGGAGCTGCAGCTTCGCCGGGTACATATTTACCCCAGGCAAGTATGCATTCCTTCTTGATTATGGCACACGCTCTGTCCTGTACATCTCACTTTCTCGATTGCCGTTTCCTGTGCCATCTCTGTCTCCTGTGTCACTTGCTATCCTGAGGCCCAGACGCTGAAATTTGGTTCTTATCCAGGTTTCATCAAGAAGTGCAACATTCGCTCGCCCGGCGTCGCGCCGACGTCATCGAGCTCTACCAACCCCTCACCGAAGCTATGAGCGACATTCACCAAGCCATCGTTCAGTGCATGACGACCACGTTGTCTGAGCTCAAACGCGCTAACACGACTGTCAGTCCAATCTTACTCCTCTTATGTCCGCTTCCACTATTGACACTCGGGGCTATATCGCAGCTGGACCTCGACGACTTCAACATCGAAAACGCCTATTTCCGCTCGTTCGACCTTATCGTTCGCCGCCAGCTAGACCCTGTATGGCACAAAGTCGGGCCACGAACGAAGCAGCTCGTGAACGACCTAGCCACTCTCCGCCGGTTGCTATCGTGCGTTTGCCACCGTCCCCCCCGACCAGATTCGCTCATACTTCTTGTCTATTCAACACGCTAGCTACCTTCTCACGTACGACCCGCTCGCGTTCCACGCCTACCTTGAGACCCTCATAGCGGCCAACTCCGTTTCAGCGTCTGGTGGACCGAAAGTGAACCATAGCCCATGGATGCTGACCGATGCCGCCAACATCATTTTTCGCGAGGCCAAGCGACGATGCTACACCGTCAGTGCGCCAATCGGTAAAGGTCATTCTTTGGTTCTCCGTGACCGTGTTTTCTCGCGTTGATCCTGTCGTCTCAGGCAAGGGTAAGCCCGTAGTGATCGACCTAGCGGATGACGAAGATGCTTGGGACGCCCTTGATGAAATACAGGGTACCGTGGGCACTAAGCTCCCCACAGCAGATCATGGAAAAGGGAAAGAAAAGGAAGGAGAGCGACCGGCGTGGTTGCCAGAGGGTATGGATCCAGTGCTGGAGGAATTGCCGAAGTGGGCTCTTCTGGCGGAGGTGCTGAAGGAGGTGGAGGAGGAGGTAATGAGGGGCGAGCTCAAGAACCCGCAATTGGTGTCATGTAGGTCCTTCGTATCTCTGTTAGTACTTGAGGATATTGACTCTTCGGTTGCTCTTCAGTGGCACCCGGGAACAACACGGTGCTTATCATGACATCGTCGTCACAGACTTCCACGCTGCTCACCGAGTTCCTCTCTTCAATGGACATCGACGCACCAGCTGGTCGACAAGGGAGGCGAATGATGGAACGCAAGCTCAAGGCGTATCTCTGGTGGAAAGGCCGCCTTGCGGAAGAGAAATCCGCCTCGGCCAAAGGCGGTCCCTCGTCGAGACCTAGCACAAACAATCGTCAAGGCAGCAATACGGTTCCCGGAACAGGAGGTACGGATGGTCTCAGCGAAGCGCTGCGGAAGAAGGACAGGGAACGAGAAGAGAAGAGGGCAAGTCGACGAAGGGTTAGAGGCGGTGCGCCGGTGAATCCTATCAAGCGCGATGAGGGTGCCAGGGATAACGCCGCCGGAGGAAGTGGGTTGGGACAGGTTGACGTCAAGAATGAGCTCGGGGTAGGCTTAGGAGAGGGCCAGATTGTCAAGGAGGCGGAGGATATCGCGGAGTTGTGAGTGTGATTCGTCCTTCTGCCCCGTATGCGATTCCTGATCTGTTTCTTTGTTCTTGGATCAGCCTTATGACTCAGGGACTCCGCGATTTGAGCACCTCCGATGGGCAATCGACCGAAATGGACGGCCAGATCGCCCTGGCAATGGACGACGACTTTCAACTCGTGCTGGAAGAAGACGGTTTCGACGAAAACTACGGACTGCTTCCTCCCTCGCAGACTGTAATCGTCCGAGCCTACTCGGACGACGGGGATGATATGATGCTTGCAGAAATCCAGCCGCGCTTCATCGTGATGTTTGAGCCGAATCAAGACTTCGTCCGGCGGGTTGAGGTATGTGATCTCGTCTTGCTTCCGGTTATAATTCGCCATGTAAGTTTGTTCTCAGGTGTATCGCAGTTCACATCCCGGGCTGGCTGTGCGGGTATACTTCATGGTGTATCAGTTGAGCTGCGAGGAGCACAGGTTTCTCGCTGCGCAGCGGAGGGAGAAGGAAGCATTCGAGTCTCTAATCAAGGAGCGCGGTGTATGTCTGTTTTCTTAGAACATCCTCCAAGGTGCTGACATCTGCGCTACGCATAGTCAATGCTCCTGCCTATCTTCGAAGAGCGCCGCGCTGCCACAGGCACTACTGAAGGTCTCATCAAGACCATCAGCACGCGAGCAGCCGGCGGTCAGCAACGCCAGGTAAACTCCGAGCCCTCTCGAGTGATCGTTGACATGCGGGAGTTCCGGTCGACATTGCCGTCGTTGTTGCATGCGGCGAACATCCTGGTTGTGCCGGCGACGCTGACCGTGGGTGATTACATCCTGACGCCGGACATGTGTGTCGAGCGGAAGAGCTTGCCTGATTTGGTGCAGAGTTTCACCAGCGGACGATTGTGGGTAGTCTGCGTGTGCTCTGCAACCTGTCTGATGCGAGTCGGCCCAACAGATACACACAGTGCGAGTTGATGTCGGTGCACTACAAGCAGCCGATATTGCTTATTGAGTTTGAGGAACATAAGTCGTTCTCTCTCGAGGTACACGTTCTATAATCCGAGTAGTACCCATCGCTAATCAAAGCTTAACTAGACGGTCACCGAGATGAAGTCGTACGCAAAGCCCACTGGCAAGTACCCACCTAAGCGCAAACCCGGCCCGGGCCCCGACCAAGACCAACCTGGCGTCACGAGCATCCAAGCGAAACTCGTTCTGCTCGCACTCAGCTTCCCGCGGGTGCGCATCATCTGGTCCTCATCGCCTTACGCCACAGCGGACATTTTCAAGGATCTCAAACTCAACAGCGCTGAGCCCGATCCCGTGAAGGCGATCACCGTCGGCGCAGAGGAGGACCCGGACGCTGGGGCGGGCGTCAACCAGGCCGCAGAGGAGCTGCTCCGCTGCCTACCGGGGATCACCGCAAAGAACGTCAAGTACGTGATGAGCAAGGTCGCGAGCGTGAGGCAGCTCTGTGAACTGCCTTTAGCGAAGGTGCAAGAGATCTTGGGTGTAGAGCCAGGGAAGGCGTGTTGGGAGTTTATACATCGTGGAGAGGACAAGCGGACATGAACTATGCAGATCGTTGTGGGACTAAAACAACTCGGATTGCTATGCAGATATTCACGATCTAGGTGTAAGTCTCAGAACTGAGCACACTATATTCATCGACGGTTGTCTTGCATGGGAATGAGATCGCCAATGGTGAAGATGGGACATGCTCATCAACGGCTTACGATTGGTGCTTATTCTTTCCGCCTATCCTTCCGAGGCTTTCCACGCTAATGCTACTATTCCTACGTAGGATGCTACATATGTAGTGACAAATCGCGAACTGCTTCGTGTGTCCTGGCCCACTTGCCCATTATGGTAATGCCTATTGAACAGACCATATGTGGCCAACCACCTTTCCATGTTCGGCGCATTTCATATGCGCCTCCTTGATTCTGAAGGGTATGTTTACATGGTTCCACCATAGGTCCTATTGCTTAACGCATCCATTCTACGATCAGATGTCGCTGCCTACAGTGAATACCAAAGGGCACGAATGTGCCATTCTTACAGCTTGAAGAAAGGACGCCGCGCCAGAAGGACACGAAGCGTCGTCAAGCCGGTGATTACGTCGCCTATGGAGCTCACACGGAGCCCTGTCAGCAATTCATCATGATGGGTCATTGGGTCAGCATCATGATCGCGTGGACGCTGGCAATCATCTGAGCATAGGTTATGATAATAACTACTCAATCTCGGCCTTCGGGGCCCAACGTCCTCAATCTATGGCAATCCTCGAGATCCTATACGTCGTTGGCTGGATTGCAGTGCTCTGGGGCGCATCGAGGGTTTATGATCGGACGGTGCGGAAGGTCGTCCAGCATAACCTACCGGGCCCGCCACGCGAATCTTGGCTCAAGGGTTAGAGATCGACGGCAGCTCTTGAGCCATGCTTCGAAGTATTGATCTTGTCCTAGGCAATTTTGGTCAGCTCTTCAATTCGAGGGGATGGGACTTCCATTACAGTTTGAACGAGAAGTACGGAAGCGCCGTGAAGGTCCACGGTCTCTTTGGTGTATGTCTACTGTTCTTCACGCCATCACCCTTGCGTCTAATGAATATGCTTAGGATGAACAAATCTACGTTATGGATCCGCTCGCTCTTCATCATATCGTTGTGAAGGACCAGGAGGTGTTTCAGGAGACAGCTACGTTTACCAACTTCGTCGTTATTCCTTCTATCGATACAGAATGTTCACCCGTTTTTAGGGGGTTGAAGATCATCTTTGGCGAGGGATTACTGGCAACAGTAGGCGAGCAACATCGCAAACAGGTATGTTCCGGGAATTGTATCGTATCCTTATGTATACTGATATGACAGTCATGACGTATAGAGGAAGATCTTGAACCCGGTGTTCTCCCAATCACATATGCGGAACATCGGCCCAATCTTCCAGGATGTTGCCTTCCAGGTGGGCAAGCTTGATCGATACATCGTAATCCTCACTCGTTGACGCTGCCGCCTAAGCTGCGCGATATGATCAAGCTCCACCTGTCTAACGGATCCAGGCAGATCGACATGCTCGATCCGATATCACGTGCAGCTCTGGAAATAGTTGGAGAAGGCACGTATCCATTCGATGTATGTCTTCCCTGCTCTGATTGATAGTTGGCATCATGTAGCCGGATTCGGATACTCGTTCGACGCGTTGAAACCGAACGTTCGGAGTCGCTACGCCGAAAACGCAAAGCGACTGATTCCCACCGTCTTCAAGCTCCAGATCGTCCGCCAGTTCCTTCCACTTCTGACGAAGCTCGGGCCGGCGTGGTTCCGCCGATTCCTGATCGATATCTCACCCGTACCGCCCTTGAAAGAAGCAAAACGCATCGCGGATACCTTGAACGAGGAGGCCATGAAAGTGTATGCGCAGAAGAGGAAGGCGCTCGAAATAGGGGACCAAGCAGTGATCGAAGAGATTGGCGGCGGTACCGACATATTCGGCGCTCTCAGTGAGTTCATTTTTTACCAAAAATATGTAAAGTGGCTCACAAAGTCTTTTACTCAGTGCGAGCGAACATGTCTGCTTCCGAAAAGGAGCGTCTCACTGAGTCCGAGCTGTTTGGGCAAATAAAGTACGCAATTGCCTGTAGATCTGCTCGTGCACATTTCTGACTGTACGATTAGCACCTTAATCTTCGCTGCCACGGACACCACCACAGGCGCGATATCTCGCACCCTCTTCTTGCTTGCCTCCCATCCAGAGGTCCAAGAACGCCTGAGGCAGGAGATCGTCGAGGCGCGCGAGAACCGGGACCTGTCGTACGATACGCTTTCCTCACTGCCGTATCTTGATGCAGTTTGTCGAGAGACCTTGAGGCTGTAAGCTGGAGATTCCTACTCTGATACCACAACGCCTATGATCCAACATTGTAGTTTCCCGCCACTTCCGTTCGTGTTTCGGACGTAAGTCTCCCTCACCTCCCTTTCTGTGTATATTTACGTGTTTCCGCAGTGCCATCAGCGACGGCGTCGTGCCGCTCATGTTCCCGATCCGAGGTACCGACGGTGAAGAAATCCGCGAGGTTCACGTCCGAGACAATCAGAACGTTATTATCGGAATTGGTGCTATCAATCGTAGCAAAGCGCTTTGGGGACCGGATGCCGACGAATGGCGCCCTGAGCGATGGCTTAACCCCCTCCCAGACGCATTGGTTCATGCCAAGATTCCGGCCGTCTACTCGCATTTGTATGTACAACATTTTGCCTCGAACAGTAACATGCTCATGATACGTTTAGGATGACCTTCTTGGGCGGTGGCCGATCTTGCATGCACGTCTCTCTATCCTTTCGCCTGACATGATCCTCGTTCACTGACAGCTACCTTACAGCGGATTCAAGCTCGCGCAATTCGAAATGAGTGCGGTTTTTAATCAGTTTATGATATTACACGCTGATCCGATTTGCGCAGAGATTGTTCTGTCTGTTTTATTGGAGGCTTTCTCGTTTCAGCTCCCCGATGACGCTAAAATCTTCTTCCCGGTGTCAACCATCGTTGCTCCAACGACAGAAGGGCACGAGAAAGAGATACCTCACATGCCAATGAAGGTTACGGATCTGCACCACTGACCATCGCACCGCATCACTATATCGAGGAGCTACCATGGGAGGCCGTTGCGTATACCCCCGTGTCGGACCATGTAGCTAATTGCGGCGCATGGGGACAGAAAACAATGAGACATACAAACTCGGACATTCGGCAATGAGGCTGTATGATACAGTCGATGAGAAACTCTGCGCAACATGGTGTCCTCCGCCCCAACTTGAGACAGGAGTATAAGTCTCTGAACTTAAGAGGAGACTGTAACCAGGAATCAGCATAAGCGCTGGATACCAAGTTTATCTAGAAGTACTCACGGCACTGCGAGTAGTAGTCGTTGACAACGTTGCAGACAAATGGCGCAACGCAGCCAGTGGGGCCGGAATAGCCCTGACCGCCGCACTGGCCATACTCCGCGACGGTGCCGGCGGACGCAGTGGAAGCGGGCGCAGAGGATGTCGACGCGGGCTTGACGGTCGATGTCGCGGCAGTCGAGGAAGGCGCCGGTGCAGCAGAGGACGCGGCACCCGAGCTCCCGTACAGCGGCGGGCCAGGGATCGGGTAAGTGGTTTCGGTCTCGGCCGCGCTGCTGTAGATGTCGATGGAGAGGCCGGGGTCGGAGTTGGAGTAAGCACCGGGAAAAGAGACGAGTTCGGCGGAGGTCGGGGCGAGGTTGCCGCCGCCGGTGATTGTGATCTGCGCGCACTCCGGGTAGAATTGGGCGGGGAGCGAGTGCAGGGCGATAGTCTCGAAGCGAATGAGGTAGCTGCCACTCGGGACAGTCGAGGGGATGGTCGTGGTCCAGGATGAGTTTTGGTCGATCATCTTGCCCGAGCCCCAGTAGCCGTCGAATACTGTGCCGCTCAGGAGACCGGCCTGATCGATCTTGAACCACTTGAGGCTGTTGGCATTTACGCCTGTACAGCTGCTTCCAGGGCATTGCGCAAGGTAAGTGAGCTTTGAGCAGATGTCAACGGTACAGAAGCGAATGAGGTCAAGGATGTACGTACCATAGGGCCGTAAGCGTGCGCCCAGGGTTGGTTCCAGTACGCAGTGATCTCAGAGCCAGCCGCAACGGTCGCAGTCAGCTGCAGGGCGCCAGACGTGCCATCGTCGTTGCAAGCGAGTGTAGGGTCAGTCGCGTCGGTGATGGGGTTGCTGAGTATGCACGAGATCAGGTCTCTCATAAGAGAGATTATCAGCCAGACACTCACTAGGTGCTCCAAGGGCGCTGGATGGTGGTCTGGCCAGTGGGCGAGTTGTAGGGTTGCCATCCCGAATACCAGTTGCCGGCGTTGGCGTACGAGAGGACACCTCCGTGAGCGAGGGCCTTCGGCAGAGCGAGAGCAGCGACGAGAGCGACGATGGCGAACATCCTTTGGCTAGGGATCTCGAGTTATCGTCCGATGGGCGACGCAGAACGGTATCGGAGCATCCAGCTGCTCTTATACCGCCACACGTAGATGAAAATAACACCCGGAGGAGGTGTCCGCGTGCTGTCATTCGTCTGGCTGGTTGTCGTGAGCAACCAGTCAACGTGACCCAATGCGGATGCACGAGGATTGAACTCGGAGATTCGTCCTCGGGTTGCGACACGCCGTCGACGGATGGATTCTCCGGCGTCACCTGGCTTGGACGTCAGTGCTGCCCTCTGTTCATGGCTCTCAATCACTCCTATGCATCGAGTAGCAAGGGCGCAACACGTTGTCAGAAACAATTCTGGATGACCCAGTCACCACGTAGATGGAGCCCCGACCAGGGGCAACAGTTTCCGGGTAATCCTCGCCACATTATCGAGGCTGGAATAACTCGAGAAGGTGTCCGCCTTCGCGGGCGGTGTCGTCGAGGAAATCGTTGTTAGTTACTGAATTACGCTGAGGATGTTTCCGCTAAGCTTCGTGATAGCCATTCAAGCCGCGTATGGACGCGGGGCAACCCCAGGTCAGAAGGAGGAGAATGCTCGGGAGCATTGCGGATACGACTGTTCGGCGTTGCTAATCAGAGAACAAACACGAATTCAGTCACGGATATATAAGAAGAACCTGCGGAAGGTCTGACGTGGGCGTACTTAGATCATACTCAACGTTCGAATTTGATGAGGGCCATCGTGCGCTCGAATTAATCTGGCCGCAGCAGCGTGACAAAGTGAGTGTGAGAATGCTTAGATTATGTATTGAGATCAGTTGTAAATCTGATCAAGGAGCTCGCCGGGGTGCCGAAGGTTACATTGCTGTTGATACTGGTCAGTTACGTAATCGTTATCTCTACTGCGGATTTTCTTCTCTGCGTAATGTCACTTTCCGTCTTTGGACTTGGGATGTGGAGCTTTGGGCGCTTGCTTACTTGGTTGGAACTCCGAGCCACGCGTGATCTGTGCCTTGTGATCCGATGTAATCTCCGCTCGAATGTAACCAATCAGGTTGGACGGGGGAGTCGGAATGAGGCGCTTGCCGCCCCCTTACTCACGTCCCTTGTTGATAAACTATGCGACTTCGTCATTTGAACGACGAGCAAAGAAACGCGAAGGTCGCAGAAACGGTACGTGCGAGATGAAAAGTGCATGCAGCTCATCGTCTCGCTCGAACTCGGATTGTATCGTTCAAGCAGTCGAACATTTGCTTATCCAGAACTTGCATTCAGGAGAGACGAGAGCATGCTGCACAAATACCGGCAAGAGATTTTACGAGGTTCCAGACCCAGTCGGTGTATAAACAAATAGTTATTGTGTGTCAACCCTCTTGGAAACAACGGCAAGGGAATAGTAAGCAGTCGTCTGAATCGACTGGGCTTTTGTTAGTCCATATAGCTCTCCATGACGCGTCCACCAGGAATTCTCAGGTTGACCCATCGTTGACTCATATTCCTCGAGGTCAGCCATGAATTGGTACCTCTGCTGACAAAGGCGCAACAAGCCATCACATATTTACCACTTCTCATGGGCAGGGCGCACTAGCACGAACCAAATGTTATTCGTCTAGTGTAAGAAGAGAGTATGGGAACTCACGATCCAACTCCCATGTCAAAGCAGATCTGTCCTGCTTTGCCAGCGCCAGATATGTCTGAGTGACGAGCATCATATTGTAAGATATGAGAACTGCGTGGTAACTAGGATAAGGTACCTTGGCTATGCTTTCGGGGTCGAGACGGACATCGGGGTTGTTCTCCCAGGAAGGATCGTTCTTGCGCTCTTTCGTGCGTCCCGTAATGATGACCCCGTCAATAATAGCCTGAAGGACCGGCAAGATCAGTAAGACAGTATATCAATATGTCACAACATAACCCGCTGGTGTACGTACATGCGCGACGTGGATGTTCTCCTTCCCGAATTCCTTGGCCAGACTCTGGCTCAGGGCCCGCAAGCCATGTTTGCCTGCAGCGAATGAACTGGTGGTGGTGTTGCCGCGGATGGAGGCCGTCGCGCCCGTGAAGATCAAGGTACCGCGTTTGCCGTCCTCGTTGAGGTCGTTGGACTTGAATGCGAGGATAACTTCGCGAGAGAAGGCGAACGCGGCGGTGATGTTCGTGTCCACGGCCTCCTTCACCTGAGATCTGATGTCACTCAAGACCTTGTGAGACAACCATGGGTGACGTACCTCTTGTTCAGTGACATCCAAGAACGGCTTCCATACGCCGTACGCCGCGTTGTATACGGCCGCGCGAACGGGTGAACTAGGCCACTTCTTTTTTATGTCCGCGAAGATGGTAGCGAAGGTGGGATAGTCGTAAGAGGCAGCCGGGAACGCTTCAGCCTACGGTATGACATATCAGCTAACGAAATATAAGCATCGGACATCGAGCATACATCACCACCTCCTGCCTGCTTGATTTCTTCGGCGGTCTTCTTCAGACTCTCTTCATCGCGTGCAACTAAGGCTACGTTGTATCCGACTTGTGCGAAGACCCGTCTAGAGAGAACTGTATTTCAGCGTCCTTCGCGCGGTGCGTACATAGGGCTGCGTACGCTGAAGCAGCGCCGGTGCCTATGAGCACACGTATGTATGAGATCGGCCATCGATGGTGAGAAGTATTGTGTCTCGCACCTGAGCCAGTACCAACACCAGCAACAACGAGGATGGGGCGGTTGGTCATGATAACGCGCCTCAAAGGATTCCACGGAGAGGTTAGTGTGGAAAGATGAGAGTACACCGCTCTTACCTTATATGCTTTATATTCTGCATAGATCAGTCGCAAGATCCGTTAGCAGTTGCGTCTTGCGCGTTCCCGCAGTGTCAGACGAGGTGGGCTTGGTAACAGGATTGAGTCTTGCGTCATTGCGTGCGGTTAGACAGTCATCGCGTTCAGTTGACGATGATAAGCGGTCCAAGAGCAGAAGCGAACGCTCGTTCAATCAACCAGAGCATGTATGCGTTGTAAAGCGTAATTCCATTGTTGATGGACGGTCGAAACGGCGCGCTCGTCCTCGTCAACGACGAAAAGGCGCGAGTGAAACGTGGCCGGCAGAAATGTGTGCCGGATACCGGTCTCCCCTCGGTCAAGTTATACTCTCTCATCTTTGTGAACCGGCCACTACGCAACTTGTCAAACTTTACTCGCCCGACTCTCGCTGTACTACAGTAGCGATATATGTGCATGGGCCCCGATCTACTGCGTCGTGCCCAGCCTTCCGCCGATGCCACAGCTACACCGGAGAACAAGTTGATGACCCTTTCCAAAGCTTACGATCGGCGGGTGTAGCATAGACAATGCATCTTACCGAGGGTGTGGGATGTAAGCGCAGATTATGCGCGGACATGAGTTACTATTTATTGACTGCGCATGATACAGAGGTATGTTGTTATCGTCCACGATTCTCGGCGAAGGGCGGCAATGAAGGCGCGACAGGACACGTCATAGGGAGAATACACTCAACGTCACTTCGAAAGCGGGTATTCGTTCGGTGCGCGACGGGTATTGAGAGTGCAGAGTATCCGGACGAGGGAGCGTCCGACGACAATTGACGGAAGGAACGTATTCGTTGCACGACGATATATCTATCATACACATGCTGAAACGTCCTTCAGGCCTCAGCACCCTCTTCGTAGTTGGCGATCTGCGTGGATGGGTCAAACACGATATGACGCGTCGCTCGAAGATGATCGGCGCACATACCTCGACCAGATTTCCGTCCGGATCGCGCACGTACACGCTCAGCATCGGTCCTTGCGCCCCTGTACGCTTAACGGGACCTAAGAAAAGGGGGGGCGAAGATGCGCCAGCGTCGCCCGAAAAGAAGCTCTGGATACGCGAGACGGTGCGTACCTTCGACGACGGGGATGTCCAGCGACGCAAGGTGGGATAGGACGCCGGAGATGGGGGTCGTGGTGATGAAGCAGAGGTCTTGCGATCCCGGAGTAGCCACGCGGGCTTCTGCGTGGTCGTGGCGATCCGGCGTCTTCGTCAGATCGTCCCGGCGCGTTTCCGAGAGTCGGAATAATCAAGGGAGGGGTGCACGTACTCGGTTCGCTGCGATCGCCCCGGGACGACGTCGACGGCGGACAAGTTACCATTCACATCAGCCCGCGAGACGTGCATGTCCATTAGATCTGGGCGGAGGACGGTGCGCACAATTCTTTCCCTTGTTGGTGCAGGTTGATCTTCTGGCTGCCGAAATGCAGCGCTCTCCGCTCTCCGTTCGCGAACGAGACGACTCGCATCCCGAGCGCGGACGCGTAGAAGGCGATCGTCGCGTCAATGTCGGACGCGGTGATGACGAAGTGATCTAGGTGCGAGACGGCTATCGGCGCCGCGGCCATGGCGAGCAAGGATAGGTTCTGTTGAGTTGCTAGAGGCCCTTCAGTTCACTTTCGTCGGGTCCGATGTTCGATCGCGTCGGGGATGTTTAGATTCCAAAACGGAAGAACGGAAGGCCGAGAAACGCCAAACCGGTCGTGTCCGGTCCGGGCATTCAAAAATATGAGGAATAAGCTTCAATTATGGAAGGGATGCCCAAGCATAGAATACGGTTGCAGAGTTTGCTGAGGTCACCGCGACGCGTGTGCGTGAGCTCCACGAGGAGTATTGAGTCGAGGAATATCGACTACGTTCCGCGCGATGAGACGGTTGGCTGTTCCGGGTCAGTGGAGTCGCGATATGGGCGCTGCCAAGCCTTTCGCATCTGGGGTCCTTCACCCCTTCGCCTTGTCGTGTACGCAAGAGAAGAGCCTCATAAGTAACCGGTCAATCCTCGATGCATGTCGACGTCGTAATGAGGCGCATGAAAGATGGAAGGAAACGGCTGTACCGCACTGCATTCATTGAGAAACTCACATCGTCCTAGTTCTCACAGTCAGGTAAAAGGGTCTCACGGTCAGATGCAATACTCTCACAATCAGAGAAGCAAACTGACGCAAGCGGAACGCAAGCCGTCGGCTTCTTCGTCGCCACAGCAGCTGGGTCATTCCGGCCTGGGCCGTGGAGCCGTATTCCTTGCTCGACAATACTGATGGGCCTTCAGGAATGTGCAGGGACACAGAATAGAAAGGATAACGTTCGCGCCAGAACTGTTGAAACCCATCAATGACACATCCGGAGCCAACCGTATATGGTGTTGTCCTCCTGTGTAGCGCAGAACGCCACCGCGGATTTTTAGCCCCCGTTCCTTTTTCCCTCTCTGGGCCGTTCGGAAGCTAACTGCGCCGCGCGCGCCCGGGACGTGAATCATAGCCATCGATCAAATTAGGCCCCCACGTCCCTCTCTCACCTCCGTCTTCCACCACCCACCGTCGTCCTCTTTTTCCCGCTTGTCACCGTTTTTTTCTGTCGCGCACAAGGAGATGAGGAGATGACCAGAGGAGGATATACGCTCCTGCCCCGCTCGCGCGAACCGAGCCAAACCCGTGAGCCTGGCGGCTTCGGCGCCCACCACAATCTAATCTGATACGGAGATGCGTCAGGCGGCGACCGCGACCCTTCTTCGCCGTCGGATCCAACTGGCCCGCGCCTCGACGATGCGGACGCGCTGCTGCGTCCGGAGCTCTATGTCAACGTTCACGGACTGGACGACATCGAGGACGGCGACGAGGACGACGAGCTGTTGGAGGGCGACGACGAGGCGGAGCCCGATCCGGACGCGCAAGCGGGCGTCATCACGATCGAGGCGACCGAGCACGTCTACGGCCGCTTCTCGAAATGGTGCCTTTTCGTCGGGTGCGTCTTAATACGACCTTATCGATCATGCTGGACTGACGACGACGACGACCCGGTTAGTCTGGCGCTGGCGTCGTACATCTACTCGCTCGACGCCAGCACGACCTATTCCTACCTCAACTTTGCCACCTCCGCCTTTGGCGGGCACGCGCTCATCTCCGCGATCCAGGTCGCGCAGTCTATCATCCGTGCGCTCACCTTCCATCTAATCGTGGACGTAGCGCTCACTATATGCGCCGTATATGCGCCGTACAGTCGCAGTCGGTAAACCCGTCATCGCCAAGGTCGCCGATGTCTCCTCTCGCGGGAAGGCCTATGTCGTCGTTCGTGCGTCCCTCTTCCTTTGTAACATCGACACGTCATTACTGACGGGGGCCCGAACCAGTTTGCTTCTATGTCGTGGGCTACCTCGTCATCGCGACGGCGACGCACATCGCCTTCGTCGCAGCTGGCATCCTTATCTACGCTGTGTACGTCTCTCCTCTTCCGCTGCGCTCTACAGCCCATCTGAACCCGGTCCTCATTGCCCCTCCTCCCGGCATCTACGCAGTGGTTACACCGGGCTCCAACTCCTCACCTCGATCATCATCGCCGACATCACCCCCCTCTCCGCCCGTGGCCTCGTCTCCGCGCTCGCGACCGCGCCCTTCATCCTCAACGCCTTCGTCGGCGCGAACATCTCCAGCGCGGTACTGAACAGCATCGGCTGGCGATGGGGATGTACGTCTCGTCTCATTTCCAGCCTCTTTCTCCTCCCGCGTCGCTGAACTCGTTCTTTCTGGACGCGGGACAGACGCGATGTTCGCCATCCTCGTCCCGCTCGCGCTCTCTCCCCTCGTGCTCACGCTGCTGTGGGCGGAACGCAAGGCGAAGAAACGCGGCCTGGTCGATCCCGCGCTCGGCGTCGGTGCGCCCTTCCCTCCTACCCTTCCTTTCCACCCTTTTGAATCCGATCGTTGATGGATGGAAACGGCGATCCGCGCAGGCTCTTCGCCGCTGCACCGCCGCCCGCCTTCGTTGCCCTCGCTCCGCACGATCAAGCCCAGCAAGCTGCAGACGTTCGTCACCGCGAGCGAGCAGCTCGACCTCGTCGGACTGACGCTGCTCGGGAGCGCCGTGGCGCTCATCCTCGTTCCGCTCACGCTCAGCGAGCGTCTGGACGGGGGATGGAGGGACCGTGAGTGGCTGGCCGCACTATCAAGCTTCGAGGATAGCAATGCTGACGGACCGTAACGTGGGATGTAGCTCGGATACCGCTGATGTTGCTGGCCGGCGTGGCGTGTCTGGGGTTCTTCGGATACTGGGACTTTACGCACGCGACGTATCCGGTCGTCGCCAAGCGGTTTGTCAGAAACAGGACGGTCGTGATCACCACGCTCGTCGGCGCGTTCGATTTCGTGAGAACCGCCCTTCCCCCCTCCCGTTGTCTGTCTTGTCTGTCGCGTACGAGGTGCTGATGCATGCCGTCCTCGGGGTTAGATGGCATTTTACGTCACGCAGACGTACCTCTTTTCGTTCATCCTCGTCGTCAAGTCTTGGTGAGCGTCGCACGATTGCCTTTGGGTGTTTGGTCACGATCGACTGATCCTGTGAGAGATGTAGGTCGCTCAGGAGCACGACGTACTTTACGCAGATCCAGGTCGTCTCCCTCAGCGTCTTCGCGATCATGGGGGGCGTGGTGATGCAAAGAGTAAGGGGATATAAGGTACGACACCTCACGCCCATCCGGACATGCGTACATCCATTCTTACGCCTTTCCCTGCACACAGAGAACGCTCATCGTCGGCTTATTCACTAGGGTCGCGTACGTCGCCCCTCAGTCGCGCGCGCGTTCATGTATGCTTACCCTCTCCCCTTGTCAGTGGCGTGATCCTGATGATCCACTCCCGTCGTCGCGGCGCGTCCGCCCCCGAGCTCGTGCTCACGCAGATACTCCAAGGCGGAGGCGGAGGGCTCGCAAGCGTAGCGAGCCAGGTCGGGTCGCAGGCGAGCGTGAGCCACGCGGACGTCGCGGTGGTGATCGCGCTCGTGCTGCTCGTGACGGAGATCGGGGCAGCGACGGGCGGTGCGATCGGTGAGCCCCCGTCGGACCGTCCCATCCCTTCGCTGCAAGGTGCTGACCGCGTGCGCTAGCTGGGGCGATATGGTCGACGACGATGCCGAGCGCGCTGGAGAGGCATTTGCCCGGCGTGGACGCCAAGCTGCGCAAGGAGCTGTTCGGGAGTATCGAGAACGCGACCAAGTACCCGCATGGAAGCCACATCAGGGAGGGTGTCGTCCTAGGTGCGTCATCATGGGCAAGATCGCTCGCTCTGAATATCCAATGCTCATTATTTTCTGTTTTCGCGCTAGCTTACGACGACACGATGAAGGTGATGGTCCTCGTCGCGACGGTCATTTCGATCATCCCGCTCGCGCTCGCCTTCTTCCTCCCGGAGTGGTACCTCGGAAACAAACAGAGCGCGGTCGATCATGTCCGCACGCCGAACTACGGCGCGATGGACGACGAAGACGAGGAGGAAGGCGGAGGCGGGATTTATCCGGAAGGAGGGAGCAGGGCAAGGAGCGGGAGTCGGATGGGGAGGGGGAGCTTGAGGAGTCCGCATGGGAGAGGGAGAGGCGGTTCAAGGACGTGGGAGGGGTGGAGGGGTGATCGGACGTTGAGTCGATGACGATGCTTCGCTCGAGGACGGATGCACGCTCAAGCGCAGGATAGAAGCGCAAATTTTCTTTATATGCTTGATGGATCACATGTACAACGGATATTATACCCATTGTCATATTCCCTGTTTGTCAGAGAAGGAAGAAACAAATCTTTTGCAGTGATGTCATGTTGGCGTTTCGCTCGCATGAGGGTTCGTAGGATGGCGTAAACCACTCGACAAAGGTTAGATGCCGTGTGCAGCACGGTCTAGCGCGACGTTCACGGAGCGCAGTTCGCGCTCATCCTCTATAGCTCATCCTCTTCGAGCCTCCTCGGCCTCCGCTTCGTCGATGTCGTCGGGACAAGAAAACAAGGACGCGGGCATACTGACACAAGTCAGACCAAGGATTGAAGATCGATGTATCCTTGCTGTCGCTTTCGTCCACATGTGAAATCCGTGGCTCGGACGACGGAGCAGAAACTACGGATGCATTACGAGTAGACCAGTTCTCGGCAAACGTACTCGGCGTAGGAAATGCCAACAAAAAACAATCGTAGCTGCAACAAGCATCACCCGTCAATGTCCATACGGTTTTTCTTCTTTATTCGCCTCAACACCCCTCTCACTCCAGCATATCGCAATTTCCCACCGAGAAGCGGCTCGAAATTTGAACCCGACAGGATCATCGATGTTCAGGCCGTGATGGAGAACTCCGGAGAGAAGTTGCCCTGTTGAGGTCGTCAGCGCGCTACCTGAGAACAACCCGAAAACGGTGCTCACAGAATCGCCGAACAGGACGAGCGAGTAGTCGTCGCCGGGTGTCACGTCGGGAACGGTGACGACGTGGCTACCGTCGAGGATGGAGAAACCGGTCGCAAGTGGGTCGTCTGAATACGTATAGTACGCATGAACCAGCTGCACAGGGGCTCAGGGAAAGCGTTTGACGCACCGAGATCCAAAACGAGGCCAGCCTTGGCGAGAACGATCGTACCGATCGGATTGGCGATGTCCTCAGGCGGGTCGGACACGTCCCTGCGTCGTATAGGCAGAGTTAGTCGTTTGGGAATGGTGCGGCGGATGGAAATTCTCACCAGGTAACGGTCTGCTGCGAGCCGACGGGCCACACAGCGCCGGCGATGGGCGCGGTGATGGGCGGAACGAACACGTCGCGCATCGAAAGCTTCACGGGCGAGGCGAAGACGAGCGCGGCAAAGGGAGAAGCCAACAGGGCAAGGGAGAGCTTAGAGGGCGTGAAGAACATCGTGATCGTCGTGAAGGTCGGTGTTGTAGTGCTTGTAAGGCGGTTTACTGTCGTGGAACGTTGAACGGTGGAGAGAGCTGGTCTACGCTGTCCAGTATTTATACGTTGCGAGCTCTGGCTGCCTAGATGGCGCCATGGGTCATGCTGGTGCGGTATGAGGCAAGCTGCATGTGCCGAGACCGGCGTAAGACGTACAATGCTTCGCTCACACTCTCATGCCTTCAGTTCTGGCCGAGGTCCCGCGAAGAAGCGGTCGGAGAGGAGTAGGCGAGCAAGGCTTGGTGATGCAGCGCATCTTCTGTTTCCTGCCGCCACGCAGCGATTTCCAGGAGATGCGTCAATGGGATGGCACACCGCCTTAGGCCCTCGAGTGCGGTATCTTCACGCCGACGTTGAAGCGTTCGGAAATGCGGGTAGGATCGACGTCGTCGGGAAGGGCGGCAATCGTGCCGCAGAGGTCATCTGTCGTGTTCACAATGCGGGCTGCAGCGCTGACGGTGTACTTTCGCCGCGGCATTTCGTGATCTCCACCGTTGATGGCATCCAGGAATAGAAACGCAAGGATTGAAGAACACACCATTCACGAGCCGACCGATCCAACCGACCCACCCCTGTCTCGTGTCTGCATCTCCTCTGCGCAGCACTGCGTCTTGAAGGCGTAAGATCAGGAAGTCACCGCCACCACGGCGACGGGATACGTGGAGAGCGTATCGTAGGTGCTCATGAGAGCACGAGATGTCCAAGACGGTCGACGAGCACGGCCTGGCACGGCGGTACAAGGAAGCCCGGACGCATGGCGACCCCTTCGAGTCGCCGAGTTGGTACGCGCGTTTGAGTATATATCATCGTCGGGCTGCTTTTGATTCTGTGTCGATGGGATTCGAGAGCTCATTGTCCGAGAGCGAAGAATTTCGAACAGATGCGTATGAATCGTCTGCAGGTTCGCCAAAACAGAAGCAAAGGCGGTGAGTGATGGCCCCACATAACGCAAGTCCAGAACGTCAACGTTTCCTGCAATTGACAATATTGCGATGCCTGCGAGTGTAGACGTTCACGTTCAAGCTGAATCTGAGTGCCGTACTTACTGCAGCCTTGCAGCTCAACAGAAAACAAACATTCCCACGACCGGACGTTCAGTGAGCGTGTGAAAGAACGCGGACTGCATCCAAGCAAGGTCCGACGCGGCCGTTCTGCAACGTTCATTGGACGCGCTGCAGGGACGCTTGCACAACTGGCTATAACTAATTGCCCTAATGCTCATTTTTTGTGGTCAACGGCTACACAGACAGGAGTTCAGCGTTCAGGCTCGCTGGAATCTTCGCCGAGGCTCAAGATACGCTCAGGCTGGCTGGCGGGTTTGGTGACCAGTTCACCTTGAGTTACTGTCGCAATCGCATCGTGAGCATTTGTACTGTCCAATGCCCCGAGCAGAGCCTGAAATGAGCTACTCACACGGCCTCCAATAGACGTTCCGCGTCTCGTACCCAAATCTCGTCGCGCGTCTCTCTCACCCATCTGCCATGTACAACGCAGCCATTCTGTTGAGTGCCGGAATTGTCGTCGTCGGGATATGGACGCTCTACAAGAAAGCTATCGTCAAGTCAATGGTAAAGACCCTACCCAGCCTTACACCGGCATCGTGGTTCTATGGTGAGTCCTGATCCCGTCTTCTGCTACATCTACCAATTCAACGTGCCCAGGCAATATGCAGCAGCTTCTGGGTTACGAAGCTGGACCGTTACACGATAACATTGTATGCATGGGATCTGTCGTCAAAGTGCATGGACTCATGGGGGTAGGTGACTCGTTCTTCCTGGACAAACGGAGAGGGGTTGGGCTGACGGATCGATTCAGGATGAGCAGCTGTATGTGTCCGATACTCGGGCTCTGTATCACATCCTGGTGAAAGATCAGGACCTTTTCGAAGAGAGTTTAGGCGTTGTCGAGTGAGCCCCTCTGTCTCGACTCTATGGGGTCACTTGCTGACTCATGGGCAGGTCATCGAGATTGTTCTATGGGCAAGGCCTGATAGGAAGCGTCGGTATGTTATCCTTGTCTTGCTAGGGAGCGGTATGGGTGACGATCTCTTGCTAGGGGAACAGCATAAAAAGTAATTGTGGCTGCTACACTTTTCGATCATCAACCTCACTGGTCTAAAGGCAGCGCAAGTTGCTCAATCCTGTCTTTTCGACGTCAAATCTCCGCCAGATGAAGCCCGTGTTCTCTCAGGTCACCGAACAGGTAGGCCATACCCCGACTCAGAACTTCTCTTACTAGACTTCTGATGTGCACCTATCAGCTACGCGCTGGCATCACGAAACTCGTCCAGAACGGCGAAACTGTTGTCGACGTCTTGGACTGGTCTTCTAGATCCGCGCTCGAATACATTGGAGTAGGAGGGCTAGGGCACTCATTCGGCGCATTAGGAGAGAACGCGGATAACGTATACAGTCACGCTGCGGAAAGCCTCCTGTACGAGTGACATCACCCCATTTTGATGATGGCTCATGTCTTACATCGCAGCCCTAACGCGTTCCCGTATTTCCCGCTGATACAGTTTCTTCCGGCGCTGACGACCCCGCTCCCCGCTAAGATAAGGAGGTGGATTGTGGAATTGCTTCCTATTCGCGAGGTCCAAGAGCTGAAATATGTCATCGATACCATGGAGAAGACCAGCGTCGATATATACAGGAAGAGAAAACGGGCGCTCCTGAGCGGCGATGGTGACATGAAGGAGACTCTGACGAACGGGAAGGACATACTCTCGATCCTCAGTGGGTGGCGTTGTTCACGTCCCGTGTCATGGCTGAAGCCCAGTGAAAACAACGGATTTTGAGAGCGTATTGTACAGGATATCCCAGGAGAAATCACAGGATAAGCGGAAGAAGCACCAGAGTGAAGCGGCCTCGCAGGACCTCGCTATCATCCGGAGGCACCTGCAATCATCCACGATTTTGAGACTAAGTTACATAGCCACTGCTTCGCAACAGAGCGCCAAGGAATCCTTCAGTATCTTTCCGGTTCTCCCGGATACCTCGTGGGGGATCACTTGTGTAAGCGTAGCATGAATGTCGCGTACCGTACAGATTGTCAGCGGATGCCGAAGCACAAACATTCGAGCACATCCGCTTTGATACTGTCAGAGTTCGAATCCCGTCGGACGAGAACGGATTGCGAGCAGTTTTCCTTGCAGGGCAACGCTTATCATCATGTGTGTACGCCAGCTCATCAGAATCACTCGGGATGACGATGGATACAAAGACCCTCAACGCAATATGGGAGGATTAGCACGGCTGTAATACTACCTGACTACCCAAATTAAATCCGCTACCATTCTGCGCCATCCGGCAGCCCCAAATCTCTGCGAATATGCATTAGTACAATCCTATGAATTCCCGGTCCGAAGCCAAATCAACAAAACATCATCGCAACGTCCCCGGAACTCTCCATGTCCTGTCAACTTCAGATAGAGCATGCTAGCCTGTCTTTTTGGCCTTTTTCTAACAATTCAGGACGCAGGTTGTCAGTACAGATGGCGTATAGGTTGTCATTTATGAGCAGCCGCACCATGTCTGCTGCTTCAGTCTTAAGTCTCTGCAACGTGTTCATTGTGAGAGAGACGTCATCTCCTTCATTAGAGAATAACATACCTTCAGATACTCGACATCATCTGTAGCAATGGACGCGGACTTCGTCTGATATTCTTTGTATGTCACGCTGGCGTCTACACTAATCATATCCCGCATAAGAAGTGACCTGAAGGAGTGATCAGTTCTTCAAGTAGCGACAATTATACACGATGACATACTGCCAGCTAATGGTTCCTGCCTTGTATTTGGTGGACAAAAGTGCGTCAGATCCTGCAGCCTTCCTGGCTCTACCCTTAACAACCTTGGAGGGCAGATCTGGAGGAACGGCACACTGGCTCAGCTCGGTGGCTGCCCCGGCATGTTCCTGGTCATCATCGGTGTTCGAACTACGGGTCAGCCGACGAACTGGGTTTGGGCTGTTCACAAGAACTGTCAGGCACATATTGAATGCAGACGAAGGCTTTGTACATACAAGGAACCCGGTTTCCGTGTATAGGATGATTCAGGAAGTACGATCTGCTGGGACAGGTATAATCATATCTGTAATCACGCAGCACTGCATTTGGACGTACTAGTGAGCCCTCTGAAGACGGTTGCAGCTTCGTAGAACTTGACGTGTATGCTGCGGCGTCACTCAGCAAGTCCAAGGCTGCCGTGTCCATTGTGCGCATCGGGCTCATGCTAGCAGAGGGACCAGGACTGGTTTCTACCGCTGAGCCGGAGATGTCCAGAGGCGCAGGTGTTGACTGCACTGCGGCCTCGGTTTCCGGCGGCGATAAATCTGATGGAGAGGATGCCGAATGAGATGCTATGCAGAGGGCTACAAGTCAGTTATGGATGTCTGATATAGAGACGAGAACCTACGCCATGACATCGGCCCTGGGACCTGCGGGACAATGGTGTTGTCGTCTGGTGACCCAGCTGAAGGATCTTGCTCTGAAGCTTCGAGGTCGTCCGTGATCGTCCTCACGGGGCCATTCTGTGACTCTTGGTCCTCAAGTGGAGTGGCAATAGTATAGTCGTCACCATTTTTTGATGAGGCTTGCACATCGGGCCCCACTATGGGACATGAGAGAGATGAGATCGTAGAGGATGGTGGACTAGGCTGAAGCTGCGTTGGTTGATGATGCGGGGTACCAGGCGTGATAGAGATCGATGGGATGATGGTCGCTGGCAGAGCAGGATCTGGAGTCGCAGGAGTGTGTGGCTGTGGTGTGGTCGCTTTCTGCTTCTTGGGCGCAGGTCGTATATCTACTGACTCAGTACGAGTATGCTTCGTCCTTTTGCTGCTAGACTCCTGCGACAAAGGAATATCGAAATCTTCTACCTTCTGCTCCTCGGATTTGACTTTAGCACTAGCTGCAACCCTAGCTCGGTGAGTCTTCATGAATCCGGAATATATCTGACCAATGAGGACAGTGGTCTTCCACATGCCTCCATCGCAGAAGAGAAGCATAGGGAATTGCTTTGCCAGGTTGCTATGTAGGTAGCAGAGGGCCTCGTATGTGAGTCTAGAGGCAGATGGCGCTACTTGATCATTCTGCGCAAGCGATAACAGCAATGCGTTAGTCGTAGCCCGTGCAGCTGCGGCAACTGCGCCCGAAACCGGATTGCCGTTGGCATCTTCGATGTAACGCTGAGCGATGTTCTCATCGTCAAGATGTGGGCCTGGTCTACCAGGTGCGCCTTGCTCGGTCCTCGTCCACGATGCTGAATTCCAATACTTCACTTTTCCACAGACCGATATATTGGCTCCGGTAGGAAGGGTCATATGAGATCCAAGGAGAAATGGAGTCGATACGGGGGCGCCGGAGACACGATTCAAAAGACGGTCGTAAAGAAGTCTACCAGGAGATAAGGTTAGTTCGCCATCATATAAAGGTACATGTCTCACATTTGTTCGTCAAGACGAATCTGTAGGACATCCCTCTCCTGCTGTACACATTGCAGACGGGCTACCACTCCAAGGTATGCCATATTGTTGCAGCGGACCAGGGTGTCGTGATCGGCACAGCCTATGCGCTGTTGGATCAACACATCCGGGCTGGCGCTACCAGCAAATGTGAACGGTGAGCGAAGCCCCGAAGTGGTCTACACAAACTGATCAGAGCAGTTTGTGAACAGAAAGTCAGCATGAACTGACCTGCCCATGCAAAGACGCAGAGTTCTCATCATGCAATGCCATAATGTTCGGGTTCGGTGACCCGGTCGGTGTCAGATAATTCACATCTGTTGAGATGGTCAGAGGAGAAGTTCCATTGAATAATCCCAAACGCGGTAAGGGCAAGGTGTTATGCTGCATCAGGTGTGTGGAATGACAGGGGTGTAGACCTTGAGGTAACCAACCAACAGGTCACGCCGGCGGTTCGAGGAGTAGCGTGTCGACTCCGGCGATCACACTGTTATTTCCCGACCGGGTAGCTACGTGCTCTCGCACCGAGTTTTTGACAAACTACATACATGGACCATATCATTCAACTGGCTACAGCTACATGATCATCGCACACAAGAGGGCCTCAAGTCCCATGATTCTGAGAGGTACGATTTGATGGCGGAGATGTTGAAGCAGCCAGGCATCTTCCCACCAATGAGATGAGAAACGAGGACAGAGATGTATTTACCCAGGCCGCCAGTACCGGTCAAAGTCGAGCCGAGTTGTTCGAGGGGCAGCTCCTCACCCTTCTTCGGCGCCGAAGAAAACTCGAGATGAAGGTCGCCAAGAATCTCGTTTGCAGCGTCAATTTACCGCTCACCAGGTCGTTGATTGACTTCAACAAAGACACCTCGTCCGCTTTCTTCAGCTTCTGCGCGACGATCACGGTGAGGATTTCGATCGGCCTGATGGGAGCTGACAGCAGCAACCGCAGGAGCAGGTGCGGCTGCAGCAGCTACGGGCGTGGCGACTGCTGCCACGAGAGCCGCTATGGGCGTTTCCTCGGGTGACTCTGCGGCTTCCTCCGGAGCGTCTTCGAACTAGTAATAAATCTCCTTGGTGTGCTTAGCGTGGCAAAGGATAGTACGGCGGCGGCCATGCGAATCATCCTGGCTCTTGTATTTCGCCTTCAGAGTGCGCGAAGCCATGCCCGTGAGCGTCGGCGAGGGACCGATCTCGATGAAGCGATCGAAGTCGTAGCGGGTGAACAGGATGTCCTGAGTCTCGATCCATCGCACGGGCGATGCAAACTGGTAGGCCAGCAGCTCGACGAGGATCGCGTAGGCAAGCTTCCGGCGCTGGTGCGGCGCGGCCCACTGTTCTTCTTCCCAGTTCCGCTTGTCGAGACGAGGCGAGGACGTCTGGTCGTAGATGATCTGCGCGTACTCGCGAGAGACTTCGAAGGGCTTGGCAATCAGACTGGGGACGTATTTGCCGATGAGCATGTCGGGGTTCAGGTGAGCAGCGTTGATCTTCTTGGACAGATCTGTCACGTAAAGGCGTCGTCAGCGTAGTTCAACCGAATGCGGCATTGCAGGCTTACATGCACGGAACGGCATAACACCGGCCCACAGGTAACGCGAGTGGAATGGCACGTCGATGCCAGGAAGCGGGATTGTCGCGAACCCACGCTCGAGCGTAATGTAGCCCTCGGCCTCCTGCAGCTCCTGCGAGCGCTGGTAGCACGAGTCGATGATCTCCGCCAGCATCTCCTTGACCTTCTCGATGCTCAGCTGCTCCGTCAACTGCGTGCAGCGTTGAGGGAGAGAACAACGATATCCAGAAGGGACGCATACCTTCGCAATATCAACCTTCTGGACCTTCAGGTAGTTGAGCACGGTAGTGAGCGTCTGCAGCGCAATCAGCTCGCCAGCAGTGACATATTGTTGACCCTATGATTTCAAGTGAGCAGACTGACAACGCTGAGAAGTATCCGAGCCGTACCTCGACGTTGTAATTGACGATTTCAAGGAGGCAGCCAGTGCGATGTGCGATCGCGTCAACAACCTCACGCAAAGCGGCATCTGAGAACAAATGCGATATCCTGCTCGGGTTAACCGCGCACATAGCGTAGTTGGAGCGGTTGTGCTCGTCGCGTTCCACAGCGCGCTGCATAGTGATACCACGGTAGAAGACGACGTCGACGAGAGATGAGATGGGAAGAAACGTCGGCGATGGACGCGAGCGCGGAGTACTCGCCGAGCGAGTGACCGGCGAATGCACAGTCAGGCTGCACGAACCCCTTCGCACGCATACACCCAAACGCCGCTTTCTCCACCACGACGAGCGCGATCTGAGCGAACTGAGTAGCGAAGAGGAGACCGTTGGGGTGGCTGAACGTGTACTGAGGCGAACGAATGTTGATGTCTCCGAACAACGGGAGCGTCCGAATATTGCCGTCACGATCCATTGTGTCGTAAGTCATCTCCATATAACGCTGGCGGATAGCCTGGCCCTTGAGACCACCGAAGTGCACCGTCTTCTCCTTGGGGTTGTTCTTGACGATATCGATGACCGAGAACCCGTAAACAGTCGTGAGATGGGCGTCGGCAGCGTCCCACACAGCGCTAGCAGCTGGCGAGATGCTGTAAAGCTCCATGCCCATGCCCGGCTCCTGCGAGCCTGGCCAGTGAAGACGTAAACAGTGGTAGGTTGCGCGACCTCGGCGGAGCCGTCAAGGACCTTCTCCCCACGCTGGTTGAAGGTCTCAACCTTGATTGCCATGTTGCCGTTCCTCATGCCGATGCGGCGGAGCTTGACGTTCAGTTCGTCCCCGGGGAGGACCATCCCCACAAAGGCGACCTCGTACCTTGATGCAATGTCAGTATTAAGCAGTCGATGAACGCACAATGAAGACGTACAACTTGACGCGGTCTGGGTTGCCTTGAGCAACGATCGTCTCGACATAGCGGCGAGTGGCCGCGCTCGACCACATGTCGTGCATTATGGTACCAGGAAGAGAGGCATAGTTCGAGAAGTAAGGGTTGATATGGATCGGGTTAAAGTCGCCGGACACCTTGGAGTAGGGTTCGTTGGTCGACGGAGTGACGAAGGTCGCTGGCTCATTGGACAGCGAGTAACCATCGTTTGGCAGAGGGGAGAGCAAGCCCTGCGGCTTGCCGTGACGCTGCAGGTAAGCCAGAACCGGATTGCCGTGGCAGTCCTCTTGATCGAAGTCGACGGTGCCGACCTTGACGAGGCGCTTCAACTGGTCGCGGACGAAAACGTCACCCGTGACGGTCAGCGAGCGGTACGAGCTCTTGCTCTTGAATGATATCTCGGACTTGATGCGGAAGATAAGCCCGGTACCGGCTTGAAGGGGCTTGGTGTCATCGTCTCACTCGAACCACTCCTTGCTCTGGATAACGCCGACCGCCGCGTCGTTGGGGATCTCCACGAGGTAATCGGGTTCTTCGGTGGTCTCAAAGGTGTTCTCGTAATCGGTGAACCGTCCACGGTAGAGGAAGGACGACACGACCTCGACGACGGGCTTGCCCTGGCTGTAAACATGACCTTTGACCTTCACCGTCTTGCCGGCATCGCCATTGACGACGGAAACAATCTTCGCCTCGGCCCTGCAGATATCGCCTGCCTTGAGCGGCTTCGCGCCGTCGACGATCTTGAATCCGTTGGTCAGATGGACGAGCTTTAGCAAATGGCCATCAATAGATGCAGGGAAGATCGACTTCATGATAGCCTAGAATCGCGCACTCAGCTCCCGCCTGATCACATGAAAACATATGGATATGACATACCTGCCAGCCTGTAACGATGGCGAAGTCCATGGGAGCCTTGACGACCTCGGTCCGGGTGGTCTTGAACGCCTCGCCCTGGTTACCAACAACGGCGCAGAAGGACTCGATGTCTGGCGCCTCGATGCGAACCTCAGAACCGACGAAAGTCTCGTGCACGTCGAGCGCAGGCAGAGTCGAATCATTGCCGAACCAAAGCTTCCAGTAGAACTCCTTGATACGCTGGTTGCGACCCTCGGCGACCTCACGTATGGGAGCGTAGCCGGTCTCGGGGGTGTACTTGAACTGGAGCAACAGCGGCACGGAAGCGTCGCGACGATCCTCGAAGATCGTCAGGTTGATAAGCCGCTGCGCGGCGTCGTACTTGACGTCCACGGCCTCGAACGCAGGCTTGTGAACACCCTCGGAACGGGCGGCACCGAACAGCTTGACGCCGATCGGCGAGCCGCCGCTGAGCCGGATAACTGCCTTCTGGCCCGCACGAGGCGCGAACAGGCGGCGGACGGGGTTGTCGATGTAGGACGTGCCCTGAACGATGGTCGTCGAGGCGAGGAATGCGCAAAGCCATGAAAGCTTGTGGCCTGCAAGGGCTTCAAGCCAGGCCTCTGTCGACGGAACGTCCGACCCGATGCTGAAGGACACTGAGTTCTCATCTCGTGTGGCGTTAACGCCCGCAGGGAACGAAGCAACAGCAGGCGCAGAACCGAGGTAGTCGACGGTGGGAATCTTGCTCTTGTCGCCGGCGTATTGGCGCTCAACGAGTTTGTCAACGAGCAATGAGGTGATATTGTCGAGCATGTCCTTGATAGGCTCGTCCTTAATGGTAGCGTGCTTCGCCGCAACGGGACCTTGCAGGATGCAAACACGCTGCGGGTCTTGGTCGAATACTGCCTCGATGTCCTCCGCGGCCCAGAGCGAATCCTGAAACCACCGTCAGACATGATGATCAAAACACAAACTAGGAAGACGCACCTTTCTAAACCAGACTTCGAAGGACGCGTCCAATACGGGAATAAACGGAACGGGCTTCTGGCCAGGACGCTGGCAGATCGTGAGGAAGTACGCCTTATCCTCCACTGCCAGCAGCTGCTCCTTGGCGAGCGGGTACAGGTTGAGGGATTTTTCGATGGACGGCAGCGGCTCGTCAAGCGACGTGAAGGATTGCAACATGCTCGGCTTCGGCTTCCCGCCGTTCACACCCGTAAACCGCTCCTCCGTGCGTCTCAGCCAGTCGCCGGTGAGATTCCGCAGCGAGGTATCGATCCATCGTCCCTCATGCGCGACGTACATCAAGCGCACCATGCGCAGCAGCACCTCCTCGTAAGTCATATCGGCGATGTCCTCGGCGACCACGTCACCCTTCTTCCACCCAAACCACGGCTTGGCAAAGTCTCTGTTAAGCTTCGCAATGACTTCCGACTTGCGCTCCTTGAGCCAGACGATGCGCTTCTCCTTCGGCAGCTTGAAGACGGTCTCGTCGAACTCCTTCCAGAGCTTCACGCCCCGCGTCGCGACCTTGTGGATCGGTTCGCCGAGCTCAGACTGGACGGTGAGGATACCACCCGTCTCCTTCACGTACGTGCCCTCCCACTGCGCATCGTCCACGCCGGAGGCGGCGACGATGAGGTCCTTGACGGACGGGCTGGTGTGTGCCTCCTTGGCGACCATGACGCGAGACGCGAACAGGAAGCCGTCGAACGGCATCGGCTGCGCGCCGAACTTCTCCACAGACCACTCGCCGGTAAGGTAGGGCCAGACGTCGTCAGCCCCGCCGAAGCCAGAGCCACCAACGAGAACGATGTTAGGCTGGTGACGGATAGTGCCATAGGTCGACAGGATGGGCTGGTGGAAGTCTTCGCACGAGTGGTGGCCACCGGCGCGTCCTCCGGTCCACTGCATGATAACGGGGAAGTCGGGGTTGGCCGCGGCGATGCTGACGACTTGACGGATGCCATCCACCGAACCGGGCTTGAAACTGACGTGGCGAATGCCGGCGCTGCGGAGGCCCTCGATGATCTCGCCCGCCTTCTCAGTGGTCGGAATACCGGCCGCGACGCAGAAGCCTTCGATGGGGAGGCCCTCGCGGCGCATCTCCTGCCATAGCGGGAACTGGAACGTGAACTGGCGCGAGTTGATGTACAGCGCGTTCAGCGTGAGCCCGATCCCCGGCGGGATCTTGGTCTGGATCTCGGCGACCTTGGCGCGCAGCGCGGCGGGGTTGTAGTGTCCGCCGCCGGCGAGTTCGACATGGTACCCCGCGGAAAGCACTGCGGAGACGAAGCCGGCCTTGACGGTCGTCGGCGTCATGCCCGCCACCATGATCGGGGGCTTGCCCAAGAGGCGAGAGAACGGTGTGTCGAGGTGCACCGTGCCGTCGCTGCGCTTTCCTCAGCAAATCGTTACGCAAACGGACGATAGATGCTCACCTAGTCTTGACGAGGCGCGGGGCCCACTTCTTGCTCCATTGAAAACCGGAGAGCTGCGCGTGCGCGCGCGCGACCGTGGTAGCGAAGGGTGACGCGTACCATTCGCGGGAGTGGGCCGAACCGCATAAGATGCGCACTTCCACGTTGTTAGGTGGCGTTGAGGGCGACCTGCAGGGTCGAAACCGTTGCCATCAAAGGCCGGAGAGCTGCGTGCGCATGCGCGAGTCGTGATGCGAGTGGAGACGCGGCCGAGTTGTGCGCATTGAACAAGCCACGCGAGACGCGTGCTTTGGTGGTCGTGATTGGCATTGAGGGGAATCCCGTAGCGTCGAGACCAAGCCCGTTTGAGGCCGAAGAGCTATGCGCGCTTGCGCGAGTGCGCAAGACGCGATGACAAGCGGCGACCCGTCTGAGGCGTGCGTGTAGGCCGAACAAAGCAAAATGCGCATTCCACGTTGGTAGGGGGGTTGAAGGCCAAAATGTCGCGAGCTAGTTTGGTGTGACAACCAGCCTGAGGTGTGAAATGCGATGTCATACCCTGAGCACAGTATCAGAGTGTTTTGTTGGAACAGGAGAAGCATATAGAACATACCATGGGCCGGATCGTGTCAAACATGGTGGAAGCGCGCACGATGACTTTGGGACACGTAGGTTGAATGGGGGGTTAGCATGCGAGGTCGTCCCGGGGTTCATCTTGCAACGGCTGGGCACAGTGCCGTTATAGACGCACACCCGTTCCTCCGACCTATCCAATCTGAGCAGGCCCAGATGGTGCACGACCTTACCAAGGCCCGTGCCCATGGCCCTGGCGAAAGTAAACCCATTCAAACACGGTCTCGCTGTCACGGCTGTCGCTGTGTCGTAGTCGTTGCTGTGAACAAAGCTCCGTTCATCATATTGATCTTCGTCATATAGCCACCCATAGGCTTCAGCAGTGCAGTGAATGTTGCATGAAGCGAAGTAATACGGTAGGTTTGGACAGGATGTACTGGGTTGAGAACGTGAAAAACCGGTTGCGATGCATGGACCCTAACTATGGGTCACACGGTCATAAGGTGCTACATACAGGTCTGACCACATCTAATTCTCCTCATCGCTGCGTTCATCGTCGTCATTTGCACTAATGATCTCACCCATCTCGCCTATGGCATCCCATATCTTGTCCATGACAAAATAGAGTTCTATTGATTGTCTGTTGTCTTGTGGTCCAAGTCCGAACGTGTGCGGGATCATTGCGACACATGCAATGATGTTTTCAACACCTATGACGAGAAGCCCTTGGTCACCTATGGTTTGTGCTGCCCATACTGTTCCTGATGACGCCTCTAGCAGCTCAGCATTTACTGGGCCATACTTGCGGACTAGCGCAAATCCACGCTTAAACCCATGGACCTCGTACCAGAAATAGTACACAACTTCGGCATAGTGAATGCCTCCCCCTCCATCAATGTCACGGAACTAGGGCTTAAGTTAGCATAAATTCAATAACAGAAAATGTTGGATGTACCCTGATGTTACGGCTAATCCGTGTAGTTTTCCGCGTAAGCTCCTTCCATGCGGATCTGATTATTTGCCCGCTAGGTGTTTGTACACGAGCCCATCTACAAATGGAACGGCCTTCCTGTATCCAGCGTGACCGAAGAGCTGCGCCACCAATAGTCTCGAAGTATGCCTCGATCACCAATGCTTCGCAGTCATGAACGGGACGTGCTCGATCTTCTCGCGCATGAAGCAATGTAAATCCACATTGCACTGCCTTGTGAGGGGTTTGCCGTTGTGTTTGCTGATTGGAGGCTTCGTAGTCAAAGCAAGGGTATATTGCCTTGAGACTGTTCACCTGTGCACGTCGAAGTGCACGCTGAGCAAGGTTTGCAAAGGGGTTGGACGGCTGCTTCAGTTCTGCACCAAGGTCACCGATAGTCCGTTCCATTGCGAACTGTGAACTGCACACCAATGGTCCAACACGGATTGTGTCACTGGGCCCATGTGTGATACCATGTGTCGCCTGCGGCATGAAATGCATACGGGATATCTTCCGTTCAGCATACATTTCCTCAAGACCATGCTTGAATTCGAAAAGCTGATTGTGCGCCACGTGTAGACTGGTCCGTGTGTTCTTCCGCTTGAATACACTACGAGTTCCAGCAACAAGCTTGCAGAAATGGCGCCAGAATTCTTCTGGTAGGACTCCATGAAGGAATGCCGGAGCAAGGCCAAAGATCCAGTGCAGAAACTCGACACACTTATATCCGCTATTAACTTTCTGCGCCGGATTGCGAGGTGCTCTGTCAAAGAATCCGGGAAGATATTGCTTTGCCGATGCAACGAGCTCCTCATGTCGAGTCCATTCCTGTTCACTGGCCAGAACAGCCCAGGTTCGCCACAGTGACTTGTGATCACCATTCCTGGTGTCGCAGTCAATCATTCCACGGAGAAGCTTGTATATGAGATCCGTGATATTTAAACCAAAAGCATGCATGATGTCACCGCAGAAAAGGTCGGGAATGTCAAGCCGATGTGCTCGAGGAAGACCAAGGAATATACTGGGCTTGACCAAGCCCGTCTCCAGGCGATGTGTTGCATAGCGAGTTATTGTCTGGGAGCCAACAATTTTGCAGACATCAGCGATATACTCTTCCTCAGTCTGAGCCTCTGTTGGCTGTTCGACATCTGGATGATCGCATCCTGGTTCTTCGTAGCCAATAGGTTTGAGGGAAACTGCATAGTAGTGACCACCACCAGGTTTTCGACGTCCCACATAACCACATCGTACTCGGCATCCTTGTTTTCCACTATGACCAACATATCCGTTAAGCTCGGGTGCTCCAACAGCATCAGCTTCGCCTAGAAAAATGAATGGATATGAGGTGAACATTCTCCGTTGCTCGCCGTCCCAGATCTGGAGGCCCTCCTTCTGAAGTGCAACAACATGCTGCAGCCCGACATAAAGGAAAGAGTCGGGATTTGTTGGTTTGTTTGGTCCAGGAACGATAACTCCGGGAATGATGTACTTTTTTTTGTAGCGGTGGTCTGGCGGCATGTCGGCCACGATCCAAATGTAGATCCAACAATTAGACGCCTTGTGCTCAAACAACTGGGCCCCGTCCATCGAGAATATGAGGGCAACATCATCGCCACCAATACGACCTCTTTGATACGCATCCCAGAACAAGGACCCGTGGTAGATGTCCTCGATATTTTCGAGCAAGTGGTTGTCTTCGAGCTCGTCAAGTATGTCCTGCATCATTCCAGCTCTATGACGCATGAGACGAGCCCCGTCCGAGTGACAATAACGTGCTTGTATCTGAGGGCCAACGGGGAACGTGCTGAACTGCTGTCGCGTACTTCGCTTGCTGTTGGCAATCTCATAGCGTGGTTCATGACAGTGAGGGCATTCTTCAAGATTGCAATATGGACCCGCGTAAGCCACACACGAGTTCGGACACATGTCAGTGATTATAGGGTACACGCCAGTGAGATCTGCAATCTTTTTCTTGACAAGATAGTACGAGAGTAGACAATCTCCCGGGTGGCACCGCATAACAGCTTTACATGTGAGATCATAGATCTTCTCCGATCCGTCTGTGACGGCGAGGAATATGTCAATTGACAGCTGCTCGTCGGGTGTGAGCAGCGGTGGAGTCCGGAAGGGGTTTCGTATGCGATGAATCGTATCATCTTCAAGACCTGTGTCCTCAAGAGCCGAAGTGGAGCGAAGGGCCTCAATGAACTGGAGGCTGGTGTTCAACGCTGGGATTGTCGACGATGGCGGCAGCACACCGTCCTTAGGGTTTTCACGGGGCAGAGGGCCAAGTCGATGGGCACGGGCAGGCGTGAGATGTGGTTGGGCACAGTCCTGCGGGGGAGAAGTTGAGCGGGGGACGGGGGGACTGCCATGGTTATGCAACAGCTGTTCAGTAGAAGCGTATGTTAGAGAGACTTCAGGATGTCAAATTGGAGCCTATACGCACTGCATCATCTTCTGCGAGCTGAACGCCATCTCCACCAGTCGTCAGCTCTTGTCCGTTATCATTATGATCGTGCGCTGTCACAGAGATCGTTCTCCTGTCCCCGATTTGGCGTGATGTGCTCCGAGACCGAGAACGTCGTCGGGGATGTTCTGTAGGGTGTGGGACACCAAGGTGGGGTCCAGAGTGTTGCTGCCCGAAAGGTTGCTGTAGAGCTTGACTCTCGGTGAGCGCAGGTATCAGGCCGTCCTTCCGTTGCTGCTCGCATGCATCTCGATGCCTGAACCAGGTTGCACGAGAGCGCATCATCGTGCCTTTCTCTTTACAGGCGAGACAGCCACAATAGTAGAGATCCGGAGCGCCGGCTGACGCAGACATTCTGCAGTTGGCGCACACTACAGAGTGGTGTGGGAGGAGCCAGGGTACGTACTTGCACACAGCCTCGCACTGGCACAAATCCACCATGTGTTCAGTTAAGTGATTCAGTTGTAGTATACACTAGTACCGGCCCTCGAGTCCAGAGGATATGGATGAGCCAGTATCATATAGAATAGAATGCAATAGAATGCATAGATTCGTGGAGGTTGCACGCGGTATACACGGATATCGCTAATTCATCGCAATCTGTTGCGTGAGCACGTTCCCATACTTCGGCAGATATACCGTGCACAATCTCTGGTGACCGGCCTGATTCTGTCGCTTATGTGCTTCGGATGTTGCAATCCCGCACATCCCGTATCATAATTGCCCGTTTTCACTGGGGCTGAAGGTGGAGTAGTCCGGGCCAACATGGAAGTTGATGAGAGCGAGCGCCTACCAGAAGACGTAGTGATCGGTCAGATGACGTGCGTCCGTTTATGATATCTGTTCATCGCGTCCAACTAAAACGGGATTGGGGATAGATTGCTCATATTCGCAGCCTACGACACCACGTGCGTATCTCGACTCTCTAATGAGCGCGACTGAAGCGACGTTACTCTCAGATCCTCCGCGATAGCTCGCATTTTATACCTCCTTTCGAAGAATCAAGCCGTGCAGGATGAACTTCGCAACGAGATCAATGATATGCGTGAACAGCTCGGCGATATCGATCCGTCTTATGATCAATTAATGTCGATGCCGATTTTGGACAGTGTCATCCGCGAGACTCTCCGACTGTAAGTTCTTTGGTCGTCGAATAGCGATGCGCTCAATTATCGAGACTGCAGTCACCCGCCGGCGCCCTATATGTCGCGAGTGTATGTTGGCCAATCATAGTTGATCCCTGGACGTGACCGGCTGATAATCTCATAGTGCCACGACGGACACAGTCCTTCCCCTCGCGACTCCCGTCATCGGCACAGATGGGAAATCCATCTACGAAGTGCCTGTGCGCCAAGGCCAAAGCGTCTGGATAGGGATATCGAGTCCAAACAGGAACAAGAGCACGTGGGGACCGGATGCCGAGGAGTGGAAACCTCAGCGCTGGCGCTCACCACTCCCCTCTACGGTAACGGACGCCAAGATACCGAGTGTTTATGCCAATCAGTGAGCGGGTTACTGATAACCTCCCCCTTCGCGTCGCACTGAAACGCCTTCGCTGTCCAGGTTGACATTCCTTGCCGGAAGTCGTTCATGCATGTAAGACACCACCTGCCTCGAATCCTGAAAACGTCGCTCATCGCCTCCTGGTACCCAGCGGGTTCACGTTCGCAGAGATTGAAATCAGTGCGTGGCCCGTTCTTCTGTGCAGTGATCGTACTGATCAAACTCCACAGAGACGGTGCTTTACATGATGCTGTACAACTTCAAGTTCGAACCTCCTACTTCCGAAATATCGTGGAAGATGACTCCGGTGTTGGTCCCGTACATCAAGGGGCAGGATAACGACCATCCACAGCTTCCTCTTCGAGTCAGCTTGGTCGATCGTTAGCTCCGAGGAAGGTGCAGATGCGGGGCCGAAAGGTGCTGGTTACTACCTTGTCGTACTTTTTCTGCCTTGTACGCCGCACTCTGAGCCCGTGTTATGCAACAATATGCCTTCTTTCTCAGTACTCGGACAGGACAAAGCGGAGAAAGTAGAAGCTCGTGACGTCATGTCGGTTCGATCGCCGCACTATCCGGTAACCATTGGTCAGTCTGACCGCGGTCCACGATGTCACCGTCGGGCTCGGGTGCCGGCTTACGTTGTCAGCATGAGACTTGGGAGCGAGTACAGCAAGACTTCTCGGCGACGAATTCCCGGAATGAAGATCCTTGAATAGTAGCCCATAGATGCTTCGCAATCTCCGATTGCCGGGAACTGCTCGTGCCGTTGGGACTTGGTGGGCGCCCCCTTTGTCTCGTCGGAACGTTCACATCACTTACCAACGCAGCTCTAGGTAGACGTTTTGTGTGCTCTCAGACCTGCGCTACGATGCCTGCGCTAACATGTCAGCTCGAGATATCAACCACGCAGCACGTACAGTGTCCAGGGAAAGGGGATCGACAGCATTGACTACACCCGCTCCATGCCACGAGTTCAATTCTGCGCGAAGTTTCATTTACTCAGTAAGCGTATTCCCTGACTCGCATGGAACAAGATCGATGCCGACCTATCTCGTTGTGTTCCGAATGCCAGCATCGCTGCCGGACGCGCCGCGAATGATGAATGAAGCACTCGGTGAGAGATCCGTCTTAGTGTCATGCGATGTAAACACGGCTTACGATTCCTTAAATGATACACAGGTGTTCTGGGTTGGCTACACACGGGATATCGATGAAGCCATTGATTCTCATGCCTGGGTATATAAAGGCAGAGCACCCAGTTCGCTGTGGCCATCGATCTTTGCTCATCGCTCGTCTGCTCATGTTAGGTGTCATCGGGATCTCCGCGTTTGTGCTGGCGCTATGGGGCACGTGGAGAATGTACAAGCGCGTGGTGGTAAAATCAGTCCTCAGAAATCTTCCCGGACCGCCGAGCCCATCGTTGTTTGTCGGTATGTAGCTCCTTGCAACCCCTCATCAAGATGTCACTCGTTCACAGTGAATGGCAGGTAACTTCCGGCAAATATGGGATACCTCCGGGTTCGCATTTCATCAACAGCTTGGTGACATGGGGTCTGCCGTCAAGGTTCACGGCTTCTTTGGGGTATTGTGCTCAAGATCTTATCTGTCTCACCGCACCTTAGCTTGAACATTCAGGACGAACATATATATCTCACGGATCCTCGTGCACTGCATCATGTCCTGGTCAAGGACCAAGATGTTTTTGAAGAAAGCGCCCATAGTCTTGAGTACGAATGAATTCTGTTCTTTCCAGTCCCATCGTATCTGATTGAAATACGCATCAAAGAACATCGAGACTGTTATTTGGGAACGGTCTAGTTGCAAGCCTTGGTAAGTACACTCGTCCGTTTATGCGTTCTAAAATAACGACACTCATCACAATGATCAGGGGAACAACACAGACGGTCCGCCTCCGATGGTAATTGTCTCCGCCTATGCTGACGTATACGTACTCAGGCAACGCAAGATGCTGAACCCGCTCTTCTCTCCTGCGCATTTACGCACGCTAGTCCCGACCTTTTTCACGATCACCGAGCAGGTTAGTCCTCCGCAAATGGACCAGTCGCTCTCATAGATCCTGTTTCTTCAGTTACGTAGGGCTCTGACACGCCACGTGGAAGGACCCAAATCTGAGATTGATATACTGGAGTGGTGCTCCAGGGCCGCTTTGGAATACATTGGAGTCGGCGGACTAGGCTATTCTTTTGATGCCCTGAAGGAAGGAGCAGCAAACATATATAGCGAATCCGCAAAGAATCTATTGTGCGTTTGTTCTCTCTGACAGTCATTGCCGTCTCAAGACCTGTTCGAACAGCCCGTCGCTTTTTCCCATCGCACCTCTTTGTATCATGTTGCCCTACATCAGTGCCATTCTACCACCTGGACTAGGAAGAAAGATCATCGACGCGATTCCATTTCCCTCAGTACGAACACTCAAGAGCATTGTCGATATGATGGACGAGACAAGCAAGGAAATTTATGAGCGTAAGAAGCAGGCAATAATGCGTGGGGAAGGCGAAGAGTACGACCAGGTAGCACACGGAAAGGACATTATGACGACGCTTCGTAAGCCCCCCGACTTTCTACCGGCATCGCCTATGACACAGATGTAGTGCGCGCAAATATGGCGAGCGCGGAAAAGGATCGTCTGCCTGAGGATCAGTTGTTGGGACAAATGAAGTAGGTGCTCATTTTATCCATATATTTCGTTCGAAGTGACGTTCCGTCCCCATAGTCTACTCATATTCGCTGCATATGATACCACGTATGCTCCAATGCGTTGAACAGAGTTGATTCTCGTACTCATGAGGGACACCTACAGCTCATCAGCACTTGCTCGTATACTGCATTTGCTGTCCGGAAACCCTCAACTTCAAGATGAGCTTCGGCAGGAGATCCGCGGACTGCATGTGGAGCTTGCAAACACGTTACCAAGTTACGAGCAATTGATGTCCCTCCCGCTGCTTGATAGCATTATTCGTGAAACCCTACGCTTGTGAGCTCTCGTCATCTGCACGTCATGCATACCTTTAATTTCCTTAGGTACGCTCCTGTGCCCTTCGTACAAAGGACGTGAGCACCAGCTTGCATATAGATCGAATACTATAGCTCACTAAACCGTTGCTCTAGTGCACGTAAGGATATCGTGATACCCCTACGAACGCCCACCATTGGCGTGGATGGCACTGCTATACACGAGCTGCCGATAAAGAACAATCAGGGTATATTCGTAGGCATGGCGATGGCGAACAGGAACAAGGCACTCTGGGGCCCCGATGCACTGGAATGGAAACCAGGCCGCTGGCTCGAGCCGCTCCCGGATAGCGTCACGGATGCACACATACCTGGCGTGTATTCCAATCAGTGAGTGCTCATCTTGATATGGATTGTGATAGATGCTCAAAGACGGTCATCAAAGGCTCACGTTTCTTGGTGGTAGTCGCGCATGCATGTGAGTCGCAGACGTCATGTGAAGTTGGTGAAATGACTGACTTGACTCGATAACGCCAGCGGTTTCAAATTCTCGGAATTGGAGATGAGTGAGTTGTGGAATGTCGTTGATCGCCCTTGTACTTACGCAGCACCGTAACCCTGCAGAGGCTGTGATATACATGCTGATCCACAATTTCAAGTTTGAGCAGTCCAAGTCGGAAATCGTGTGGAGGTTGGGCAACGTGATGGTGCCTTCAGTCAAAGGCCAGGAGGATGCGAAGCCCCATCTTCCGCTAATCATTACGCCTTTGCTGTCATCAGAGATAGATTCTTAATACAGACACCATACGCCTCGCTCTGCGCATTTCTACATTCGTAGCAGCGGTGATGTCAAGAGGAGAGTCGTGTACTCAATTGATACCTCTTTGAGCTGAGCGCGGAGCACGCCTGATGGGTACATGGCGCCTTATCGCGTGGTTCCTGCATGCATCTAGCATTTCCCGCTTACTGGAGGCATCATACGAGCATCTCTTTGGTGAATGAACGATACGTACTTTATTGACGACAATTCGAGAGAAAATCGCGAAGGTGGCGTGAGAAAGACAGCCCCGTCTTTTTCGTCGGCGCGCCCCGGCACACCACCATCCTCTTTGCCAGCTCCCGCACCCCGATGTAATCGATCGACTCCGGAAGACAAAACACGGGACTGCTCTCATCGCCTGTCACAAAATTCCATTATACCGGGCAATATGCACGCGAAGACCCACTGCAGCTGCTTCCACACGATCTGTGTTCCCCGCCGTACGACAGCCAGGCGACTATATTCCGGACACTGCCGTTGTGCCCGCTACACATGCACACGCTGGGGTCTTCTAGAATACAAATCAATGACGCGGTATGCCTCAGATTGGACATTGAACCGACTCTCTACGGCCACGTCAGATGTCAAGCATACCTCCATAATCATGTCGGTAATGTCAACCAGCACTGGTTTCCTATCGGTTGTGTACTTACATCCTCAGCCTCGTTACCTTGTCACCGTGACTGACGATAGTCGTGACGTACCCGGTTTCCGATACGTATCACGATAGTCGTGGCGTACCCGGTTTCCGATGCATCCTGATCCATCCCCGAACGGACATGCATAGAGGTGACCAGGCGTTTTCCGCGTCACCTAAACACTTACTGTGTTATCTCAACGAATCATATTGGAGCTACCAATGATGAGACAAATCTCTTTCCCATCGCTGACGTCTACGACCGTTACTGGCCGGTGTTTCGTCCATGTTCAGGATAGGCGATGCTCATGGGGACAAACGCGTGAGGATAAGTGCCTTCAAGGTGTTCCCCTCGGCGGTCACCGATATCGCAACTTTCCGGCTGAAATTTCTGGAGAATGTCGCTCGTCAGATATAGTTTTTTCCACACTCATAGAAAGACTGTCAAATTAAAGGAGATCTTTACTTTTGCTCCTGACAGCGGGAGTCGAAGGTGACCCATTGCGTAGAGGACGATCAAACATACGGTCCTATTGTTGGTTGGCCGAGCACAGATGTAAGTCGGCATCATGATAGCGTAGCAATGTATAGACCCTATAGCTGATTGAACCTTGTGGGGCTCATTTAGAGTCTTTGTGATCTCATCCAGCCGCAACGCTGGTCATTAAGTTCAATAACATCGCAAATGTATCTACTGTAGTTTTACGACCTTATGTTCAGGATTGTAGAAGGGGGACAGGGACACGTTAGTTCAACTATCCGTGGGAAGTTCATTTTGACCCGGCCCGTTGGTCCTGAAGTGATATACATCACATTTGTGTTTTCCACAGTCAAAGCATTATTTTCCCACACTTAGTTACGGACGTCCGGCAGGTGAGGGGACAGGGGACAACCTGTCATTTTAGGTTCAGTCCATGAAGCCATGGGGACAGGGGACGAACATAATGTCGTAAAACTATAGTAGTAATGATGTAATTTTTACGCATGCACGGTTGCAAGCGCTTCGATTCATCACTAGGTTGTCCTTCCCGCTCTCGTACGATTGATGGCTCCGCTGTTGCGGCGAACGAGTCATATAGCACTAGAACTCCGTATGACGGTATCCGCGCTGGACTCGAACTGGCGCAAAGACGGCCTTCATTGAGGGAGACCAGTCTTTTCGAATATTGACATAATAACACCTTCACATGTGTAAACACTCGTTAGGCTTTGGCTTTTCCGCTCGGGCACTTACTTCGATCCGGACATGAGTTCTGTTCGCCAGATGATGCGCAACATGAGATCTAGCTCGGTCCCGGACGTTATCCCCAGCTGTGCCTGGAGTCTGATCACGCCGCAAACCGCTTCCGCTGTCAGCTTTTGATCCAGCCCGTAGTGTCTCCTTGAGAGCGGTGTACCGGGAGCGATTACGCAAGTCAGAAGCACATATCGACACCTCATACGTATAACCCTGTCGGCGTTGAAGATAGGAAGCGCTCTCAAGCCCTTCGGGCTCGCGTTTGACACCTACGCCCTGAGATTACTGTGGACGTCTCCCTTTCCCCCATATACCATTCTGCATAAGTCTCGGTTCAGCGGGATACGCCGATGCTCATTTGGCAATCACACGATAAGGAGTACCTAGGCGCCTACTGCGCAACCTTGTGCGTACGCTGTCGCGGAGGTCTCACGCGCCGGGGCTTCGCGTTTGCCGCTGGTAATGTCTTCGTTCCGATTAGACCGCAGTGGCTCGTTTCCCTGTCCATGACCGCATGGCTTCACGTAGCTTGACTGGCTCTCGGAGATCTCCATTTGGCCCTCCCTCATTGGCGGCTAGGAGCCAATGCTCAAGTATTCATCATCTGTTGTGAACGTACGCTCGCTTACAAGTCGCCGGATAGAAGAGATGCATCTGATGAAGTTCTAATCAGATTACTGGCTTCTAACCCGTGCCCCACCCTTAGCAGCTGGCGACAGCTTTCGAAGAGTAGCTCAGGCAGCTATGCCGTGCTTGTCTTGTAAGTACCATGCATAACGGTACGATCCTGCGGCCTGATGTAAGGTATGATCCCCGTCAGAAGCTCGCTCCCATGTCGGAGTAGGTGTGCAGAAGCGGATCCTTTGCGTCGACGTCATCGATGGCCAACGAGACGCAAGCGCAGATAGCGAGGACCATCGTGAGAAACGTCAGTGACATCTGTGCACTCGGCTACTCACTTAGGGACCAGCGACTACACGGCATTCTCCTTTCATCGAGTGGCACTACGGTGTCAAGAGTGCTGCTGATACAACCGAGCCTAGTCGGATGCTCAAATGCTCGCAATATGAGCGGTTCAAGCGACGTACGTGGCAGCGGAGATTGTGGGTCACGAGCGGCCCAGGATGAGGAAGTGGTCTGCCATAGCGCACAGCTGCACTCCTGCCGCCCTCTCATCGATTCGATTCACTCGCCCCAGATAGCCACGGAAAGGATGACACGCGCGCCTGTGTGCACAGGTGATTTTGGATACGTGAAGATGTTCGCCAGACATGCCACTAAAAGCCTCGCTCACAACCTCCGTGGACTATTCTGTGACAGATTTCTGGAAAACTTGAAGCGGTTATTGTCAGTCCGCCGCCGGTACCCCTGCGGCGGCACTTGCAATGGTCCAGCGGTCGGGTCATCCCATGAGAGTGCTGCCGCTCCTAGCGTACGGGTGTGAGCGAGTGACCATCCGCCTCCGAACAGAGGATAACATTCATACCCCAATATCAGTGGCCTGATTCCGGATTTGGACCGATGGGCGGAAAACCATGGGTATGTCCGTAGCGTCAGTGCCTGTACGGGTGACACGAATTACACCGTTATTCCCGGCGGTGCAGATGTGGTTGCATGAGCAAGTGATCGTTTCGCAGAAATGCGCAGCAGGGGACACACACACACGAAAACTTGGTCTGTGAATTTTCGTCCGAAAAGAAAATCGAGGCACATTGGCACAAGGTCGTAGACCTCGCGAAGCCTGGGATGCCGTCCTCGATCAACTTCACGAAGCACCAAGTAGGGGAGTTTCGATGCACACCTCGTCAAGAGTGTGCGCATCGAGTTCCAATGGCCTTCTCTCGGTATCTGACCTGGATCTGTATTGAGAGCGCCGTCTTCCAGCTTTCATGTCCATATCTCGGCCGAACGATATGAAGTCACGATGGCGGAGGAGAACATCGCACTGTGTGAAGGAAACACCAAGATAAACTTGAGGCTTCGGGTCGGTATCTGTGGGCTCGTAATAGTGTAGAAAGAGGGCGACTGCCGTTTTATTCGCGCTCACCAATACAAACATATAATCACTCTCGGTATGAGCATACACGTTGCATGCAGCACGTGTGCACGCAGGCCCACTCCGTCGCTACTATATGGACAGGAACTCCTTGGCAGACACAAACCTCCGAGGCCGTGATAAAGATCCAGCTAGGGTATGATGCCAGTCAGCTCGATCGAACGAGGAGAGACGAGAAGTGTATATACATCCTACGTGAATGTTGATGCCCATTATGCGTCTTCCGGGTTTACGATTGAGTGTTTTACTTCCCCTGCCGTGTCTACGTGCCTGTTATCACCGCCCGACACGTGTAAGGAGATAACCGCAGAGAACAGCGCCACTACTGCGCTAGCAGGGCTTCGCTGGAGAGAGTGCGTAAGCAAACTCGCGCTCGATGAAAGAGGGACCCGTCGCTCAATAGTATGTAGTAGCCACTGTATCGGTGCCGAATAGACCGGCATAACAACAAATTACTCGTTACTTTTCCTACACACACGTGGACAGTCCGTTAGATTCTACGGGTTACTCGTGCACGTAACGAAAGAGATTGACGTACCTCAGCCTTTCATTTCTCAGTGCCCAATTGAAGTGACCGCGCGGTCCCGAACAGTACAGAACAAAACTTCCGTCCCATTGGTCCGGTGCTGCATCAGTCCCTTAGCATTTCGATGTGGCATGTCCAACTGCCAGAGAAAAGAGCCGCACATTGGGATCTAACGAGCGAGAACCGCCACATCCTCCAGTATCTTTACGTCGATTGCCCAATCCATCCACTGAATGCCGTTCCTTTCTGGCGCAGCCGTCTGATCCGCACGCCACCGTGATGTCAGTCTGAGATGGCTTACCACATCGTCAAACTTTACATCCATCTGCGGTAAATGAACAATGTAATTGGAATGTATACGGGTACCCATTTATCGGGTTTCCCTTCTCGAGGGCCTTCTCGGCCGTGATATATTCAGAGGATGGGGTTGCCCTTTCCGGTCCAGCAAGCCAACCCAAAGAGAAGATGCCGGTTCAGTATCTTCGCAAAAAAAAAGAAGAACAATTGAGCGACTCACGTACAGATTGCCGACACTCCTGCCCCGTGGATTGATTGCTGGTTACCGTCACCGTCGCGATCGTTCCAGGAGAGTCTGATCATCCTCGGGGATGGAAGGGGCGAGCCGGGCAGGGGGGTGGTTAGAGTAACGTTCTCGGCTCCCGCCCCTGCATCGCCGATGGCAAAATATCTATTGTTACTGATCCCAGACTGGGGAATGCCGGAGAATCCGGGAAGAAGGAGGCACGGAGGGGACAACGTGAGGGCGCCGCGAAGCCGCAACGGGTCCTCGAGGCGCTTCTCCCACGAAGTTGCCTCTCTCTCCCACTACTTAACTCACCATAGATACCACAGGGAGAGAGCGAATGGTATGCAAAACCTTCCAGCGCGAAGCATCGAGGACGAATTCACTGTTCGGGGAACGCGTGCACGCAGCATATGGGTGCGTCCCACCTGCGCGCCATGTCGGCCATGAGCGGGGATTGTTTAGCCTTTTAGGAGGGTTTTGCCTAGTCTAGGCACGGCTCTGCAGCATCCACGTGTTGTTTGCCGCGTTTCCAATGTCGCTCGCCGCTGTGGGGCGGGGACTTGTTTTTCAAACACGTACTGAGTTCCCGGCTAGGACACGACGCGAAAACTTCCCACTGACGGAACGCGGAGTCTGTCTTTTCGTGTGCAGAACTGCCGAGTGCGATCGCGGCCGACGCTGGCCATAATCTGAGTCTCCTTGTCCCCGGAAGATGTCGTCACCCGGCTCACATGTTCGTTGGCAGTACCAGAGACCGGTAGATCACGGAGCGAACTGGTGCAGCCAAGCTACGTATGAAAGTCACTTAGTCAAACGGCTGGGAGGGGACGAAATATCCGTGAACGGCGTTCGCCGGTGAAATGGATTCCGCGATAACTGAGCAGCGCGCGAGGCGATATGATGTCGCGTGGATAAGTCCGGGGCATGAGAAGGACACGCTGTCCCGTTTCGGACGTGGCTCACCCGCTCCGGCAACTTCCGCCGCTCTGATAGATCTGTGACCGATCCCGTATAGCTGCCCACCTCGGCCACCTCAATTGGCCATTAGTCAAATGATGTGGTATAAAGGGCACACATCCTCTCTGGCACCCTATCCTGAACCCCCAACATAAATCCCCTACTCTCCTAACTCGCCGTTCTTCGAAAACTACTCTCACAATGGCCAGGTACGCCCCGGCCTGCGCTCAGTCGTTGCGTGGTCCTCACTGTGTCCGCGCTCTAGAAACGGACCGAACGTCTACGTACGGTGCTCACCGTCGTGCAGAAGATAGAATGTATGACTGACCTGACGTTCCCCAGTTCGACATGGCCATCAACAACGTCCCCGCTGGCAGGATAGTCTTTCGCCTCTTCGACTCGACCGTGCCACATACCGCGCGGAACTTTCGTGATCTGGCGACGGGCGAGCACGGTTTCGGATACGAAGGCTCAAAGATACACCGGATAGTCCCTGAGGTTCGTGACGACCCCGCCCTTCGTCGATGCTTCATCTCCCATGGGGCCCCGCGCGCTAACACCCTCTTCATCCGATGCTAGTTCATGATCCAAGGCGGGGACATCACGAAGGGCGACGGCACGGGAGGTCGGTCGATCTACGGACAACCGTTCAGAGGTCAGCCGCGCCGCGGATTATCCGGCTGCACCCTTGTATCATAGCTGATCATCATTCCGCCATACATACAGACGAGAACTTCGCGCTGCGCCATAGCCGTCCCTGGCTACTCTCCATGGGGAATCGTGGACCCAACTCCAACACGTCGCAGGTGTGTGCGTTGTCCCTGTCCTCTCTCTCTTCTTCGCGTTTCGTGGCGCTCGTGCATTTGCGGATTCCTCGGCAGATTGGGTGCGGTGCTATTCTTGTCTGCGCCCTCCCCCGGTTTGACAGACGCTTCTCCCCCTCTCCCCCTGGGCTGGATCCGCCGCGTTCCCATCCTTCATTTCATTTAAGCTGTCTCCCATCGCTCTCTATCGTTCTCCCGGGTGTCTGGCGTACGGTTGCTGACAGAACTCTCTCTCTTCGTGGCGCACCCTCCCTCCGGCAGTTCTTCATCACGACTACACCCGCGCCGTGGTGTGATGGCAAGAACGTCGTGTTCGGCGAGGTCGTGGAAGGCCAGGACGTCATCTCGCGCATCCAAAGCTTCGCTTCCGACGACATCCTCCGCAAACCGAGCGTGCCGATCGTCATTAAGCGGTGCGGGACGTTATGACCGGAGCCCTCAACACTGTTTATTCTCTCGCGCTCAACTGTGCATAACCTGAGGGCGATCGCAGTTGCGTTCGGGTAGGCCGCACGCCGACTGTGGGATCCGTTTTCTCTGACTTGGCAGTGAGAACCGGCGGACATGGGTGTTTTGCTGCGTTGGTCCCCTCGGGCGGACCAGGGGTGTACATCTACAGTAATAATACGGAGAGGCACGGTGGTATCTACCTATCTGCTACGACTTCCCGCGCGTTACATACTATTAGCCTTCTCTCTTTAATGTGCATAGCTTGCATCGGTTGTATACCCCGCAATGGATCGCTTACCCTGCATCACTCCTTGGTTCTTGTTCCCTCAGTAACCCTCCTCATAGAAACAGGTCAGTGTCGAGACTCGAGGGCAAGTCTCGAGTTTACCTGCGAGTAACTCTATTGCCTCCACGCCACGACGCGATTTATCGATCGGGTAACGCGTCGTGGACAGTGCCTCAGCATGCGACCCGACGGCATTTTACGCCGCCCGGGCACACGGCCACGGCCCTTCAGGAACCTCGGCCAACTTGTATGCTGGCTACCCCTCCACGCGCCTCCCTTCTCAGGTTTTCCTCATCGAACCTCAAGGCACACCAAAGCGTCCTGTGAGCGCCCTCGAATTCGTAGCTCACCCCCCCGAACGATCGGACTTCACTCGTATTCGACTGAATCCGTTAGGTCCGGATATAATCCGATTCGAATCATGCAGCGGGGACTCTCAGATCTCTTTCTGTTACTCGGTGCCTCTTCAGGGCAAGCAATCATCTCGAGCGACCCAGTTCTGATACAACTCGTAAGGCTCTCTAGCCCATCATGCGGACGCACCGACCTAGATCAGCCCCTGAGACCTGCACGACCGGATGACTGCCAAGGGAGATAACGCCGAATGCTCTATTTCTTTTTCTCTCTTCTTCTCCAACACATGCCCGCGTACCTGTCTCACTCTGAATTTAGTTCCTCTGGCATCTCGGGGGTGGAACGATCGAAACGAGCGACCTCAGGCCGTCGACGGGACACACAGCGTCTGGCGCTCCGAGCCGTTCCTCCGACTGTGAATTTCTTGTTTACACGGAAACCTCTCTCGGCACCCGCCTTGTACTACTCTTCATTACTACATGACAATTCTGGTCGTTCTGGATCCCATGCTCGCCGTCATGAACCTCGCAATGATCGCAACAGTTCGCTTGGCGCGGACGACCGTGCCGGGCTGGGGCTCCATCACCAGGCGCTCGTTCATCTGTTCGCAACACCCTCGAATGCTGTCGCTCTTGATTTGCTCAATAGCGCCCGCGTGCTTTCGTCAATAGTTGTCCACATATCAGGACTGTATGCTTGATGTCCCTACCCCAGAGTCGATCTCGTGAAGATGGTCAAACAGAATCACGATGCGCATCTACCATCAACGGTGCCCAAGGGACTTTCTGCGATATCGAACACCTCGGCAACTCGACGGATCTTCGAGCCTAGTTCTTCAGATCAGGCACTCGGCTTGCCAAATATCCTCGAGCCATCATGGCGTCTTCCAGCAAAGTATTCGCCGGACGCCTGAAGAGTGACGCAACCTCCAAATGGGCAAGGGGACATCTCGTCTCAGATCCGTTGCACCATCGACCCCGGGGACGACGACACCCATGCGACTAAGGTAGGTAGGTAGGTACTAGGTAGGTAGTATAACCCGGCGCGGTCCAAATACCGGATACTTGCCAATCGTATGTAGCTTCGGATAATCGACCTTGAGCGAACTTATGAAAAGAGAACGCACGTAGTACCGTTCTCGCGTACTTTGCTCTCCAGATTCAAGCAGAGATGTACATGTCAGCGATCGCAATGACCGATGAGCCCGAGCGTAGGGTGGAGAAAGTTGACGGCCCGCTCTTCTCAGTGACTCAAGCTGCTTACCCGCAATCGCCCGAAGGCGCCCAGCGTGTCGGGTGCGGGATGCGATCGAGCCTCAAGGCCAGCGCAGTGATCGGCGTCAGGATTAGCATTGGTGCGCAAAGCACGTACATGTTTACGATACATGGTTGACGCGGCATGGACGCCATCTGGATCGCGAAGCACGATCGATATCAATCCTCCGCATCCTCCACGTCGTTCAGCTTGCGTTTCTTAAGTGCACGTCCGGATTTGCGCGTCTGCGCCGCCGCACCTGTGTCAGGTGCCGGCGGAGGCGCAGCCAACGCGGTCGGAGTTTTATGCGCCTTGGTAACGTTCCCAGCCTGTCTCAGTGGCTCTGACAATAAGGACGACGTGGGGTCGGTCGCCGTGCGCGAACGAGAACGCGTCTGCGGTCGCGGTGTTGGCGCGGGATCGGATGGCGAACCTTGCGATGGCTCTTGTGCGCGTGTTCGCGCGCCTCCACGCTCCCTTCGGGCGGTAGAAGCAGGTGGATCCAGAGGCGAAGCGGCCTCCTCGATGCCACGAGGCTGCTTCGCCGCGGCGGCGGCGGCGGCGGACATAGCATCACCTGCAGAGAACGGACACGAGCATAATGGGCAAGAAACACGGGGTCGAGAATAATAGATACTTACTGGTCGTTATCGGCGGCGTCGAGGACATGCCAGCATGAACACCGACGCGTGAGCCTGGCACCGGTGGCGGCGGCATGGAGCCGGCAGATGCATTTGCTGCGCTAGTTGAGGGAGTAGCTTTATCGGTTGACTTCTTCGGGGGAGCGTTGACGGATTCCGGAGTTGGGGCGGCGTGGGGCGGCGGAACCTTTTTGCCTCCCTTGTAGAACACCGGTGGCGTAGCGTGCCTTCCCCCTGGCGTAATGTTGGCGTCAACGGGCGTAACGAGAGTGGACGAAGTAGCACTCGAGCAGGACTGGCTGCGCGCGCGAGCGGGTATGACAATGGTCGGCGATGGTCTGGCTCGTTCGTTCTCGAAGTCTTGGGGCCGAGACTGGTTCGGCAACCGACATTGTGGTGTTGCGGTCGAATCGGGCTCATGGTGGGCGGGCAGTAGCGAGCCGGCGGCTTGACCCTGCGCGTCCTGGTCAGGGCCCGTGCCTATGCGGAGGTCAGCGCTCGGTAGTGCACTGGATGAAGGTTGAGCATCAAGGCCGCAGAGCACAGGGCATCGTGGTATATTCGGTGAGCTGACTTCAGATGGCTCCAGGACGAGGGAAAACGGGCCCGTGGAAGCCGACGCGGCCGGTGTAGGATCAACGATTGCTTGCATGGATGACGTGAAGGTGAATGGTCCGGCAGGTGCTGACGCGCCCGACAGTGGGTCCGAACCACTGGGACAGGATGAAACCTTGGCTATGTCCTGACCAGCCGAGGATCGCACAAATTTCTTGGTCTTCCTCTGGGAAACGGAGACGCCGCGTTTGTTTCGCCCCTGACCACGAGGAACTGAGGTTGGAACAGGCCGCCCTGGCTGCGGCCGCGATTCGTCTTCGGGTGGATGCACATTCCGGTCTTCCCCTTGCGCCGCGCCCGGGTCAGATTGGGTCGCATGCGGCATCTGAAGAGGGATTCCGCAGTTCGAACACTTCCCATCAACTAAGGCTGCAAGATGGTCACCAGTCAGAAAGGGCATAAATCTCGGAGCCAAGATTGTTTACCAGCGGGTGTCGATGGCTTTGCTGCGTCCAGCTTATTTTGGAGGCGCTTCAGGCGGTCGGCGGCTTTCTGTTTCTCCCTGAGCTTCGCCATGTCTTGCGATTTGTTTTGGAAGATCGTTCGCGCAGAACGCATGGCCTCCTCAGTGCGCTTCCACGATTCTTTATCGGCTATTGAGATCACATATCCGGTCTCTTGCGTGTGTTCTCTGAAATCCGGCGGCGCGTTGAATTTGACATGATTCTTGAAATGGCCTATGTCCAAATAAATGCCATGAACCACTGCTAACCAGACGCTAAAGCACGACCACGTACAATTCATGCTCTCTTCGTCCCCCTTCGAAGCATGCCATACACGGATATCATGTTCAGCAATTGCTAAGAGCGATTGTTGGACGAGCATAGCTGGGTGAAGAGCAGAGAGTCAGAAAGAGTCGTGTGAGAGCCAGGAGGCCAGGACACGGTTTATACACACTATACTCCACCGCAAAATCCCGAACGTGCAAAGCAGCCCTATTAGCCCTCTCGGCGTTGGCCATGGCCGCATCGACGATCGTATCCATCAAACGGACGTGCAGGTCATAGAAGTAGTTCGTCAACGTTGTGAGTAACTGGTCGTCGGAAGCGCAACAATCTCAGTACAGCTCGGAGAAAGATTCACGTCTCACTCACCAATGGCACGGCTGCGTGGTAGTTGTATTCTCCGCACCTGACGGACAGGTATTTCTCGACTGCGGCTTTGACCTCGCCAAAGTCGAGCTCGGTGTCAGGTCGCTTCCTCATTTCCACCGGTTGATTATCATCGTCCTTCCCGCAGCGCTTGGCGAATGTCTTGCGCTCCAATTCTGTCGCCAACAGAAACTGCCCGTTGATGAAGGTGTGCGGTGCGCCGAACTGGAGCAAATGGTGTCAATCGGCGGAGCCTTCATCATTTGTAAGAGTTCTGCTCACGTCCAGAGTCAGGGGCTTAGCGTCAGGGCGGAGTGCTCTCTCGGACTCCCACTCCTCAAGCATATCTGCGATCTCCTTGGCCCAATTATCTATCGCCTAAGGGGGGTCGGCTCAGGTTGGAATGCTAACGTCCACAATCTTGACTCACGAGTAGACCTCCCGCATTATCCGCGGTGGTTTCTTCGACATCGGTTTGCGTATCCGAGTCCAACGAATAATCACTCTCGTCCATGTCATCAGCGTGTTCGTGGGCTGTTCGTGGATCCATCTTGGTGTAATCGTGCGGTCGATACCCGATCGACGGGGTCGTGTAGTGGTCGCAAAGAACGTGAAGGTGGCGTTACGCGAGGAAACTTGGGAATCGTCAGTGAGTAGTCGAGTGGCGGGAAGACAAAGGGGATTACCTGTAACGAGTCGCGCTCTACTTTGTGGTGAGATCCAACAATTGCCTCCAGGGCGCGTAGTTGGATGCGAGAGATGTAGTAAACGAGAAAGATGAAAGAGTGGTTGGAGGCTGGACTGAAGCGTGCTGATCATGCGCTCATATAAGCTAGATGACGACAAAGAAAGGCGACGAGGAACAAAGAAAACATGGCCGGTGACGGGCTTTGAATTTGTCAAAGGCGCTGTTTAGGCCTTAAAGTTAGAATCCGCCTCGAGGCGAAAGCTCAAGGAATTCGAAGGGCGCACTCCGATCTTCCCAGATATTTGCAGCACAGGTCAGAGGCTTCGTGCAAAGATCCGTAGGTCAAACACCTTCATTTTCGGCGCAACGATTTGGTTCAAGATAGGAAGCGGAAGGAGTACAAAGGCAAATGAGCTACAAACAGGACTATGACGCACCGTCATCAGTCATTCTGCTGAAGGCGCTGAGAGCAAAGAACGCACCATGAAGGTGTTATAGGATCCCGGGCTTGTTTCTCCCTAGAATCGGCACGTCGTTGATCTCGATCTGAGGTAGCGTAGCTTGTCGTATTGGGCGGCAGTTACTTGCCTTTGAGACATGCGTGACGAGCAGATTGCAGGCCTCAGCAGCAATGCACTCGGGAAATCTAAAGATTCTTTTCGGACGTGAAACCAGTTGGGGAAAGCGTATATTGAGGTAGACCATCAGTGACGTCCACGTCGTCGTCGTCGTCGTCGAGGTCGGCGCCCCCGCGCGGCGCGCCAACCTCGTGCATCGCGGTTCAGGGCAGGCTCGACTGCCACATCCTCACCCGTAGGGCGCAGGCCTCAGCACCTCGAAGCTTCAAGCTTCACCACTCGCTTCTATCAATATAACTTGAACCTTGATATAGGCTGCTGATTGTCACCTCCCGACCCGAATTAGTCGAATGCCTAAGATCTGTCCTTAGCGTGCGTATTTTGTGCGTATCATGGAGCCTCATCAGAAATCAGAAGTGACTGGACTAGGTCAGACATGATCTCCATCCTAACGCCCGAGGCACCATCGCCCGGTAAGCTTCCGATGTTCACATGCGTTCCGAGCTTTCCAGTCGCGCGAGATCCCGTTGACAAATCTAAAGGTTCACCACCTCATCGTATACCGACTGCTTACAATCCGCTCCCTATCTTAACGCTAGGCCCACGTTACTCCCGTTCATGCCCCTGCGCCGATTCTTTCCAGTAATTCCCGCATCGGCTCCCCACGATTTCGCCGCATTCTTGCGGAGTATGCGCGCCTCAAGCACATGCGCATGCTACAAAGGATCGTTGACCAGATGGACGGGACTGCACGCAGGCTATGGGCGGAAAAGAAGATGGCGTTCGAGACAGGGGACCAGGCGCTCGCGGAGCAGGTCGGACGAGGGAAAGATATCCTGAGTGTGATGAGTTCGTGCGCTCGATGTTCTTTAGTTTTTGCCACTTCTAATCGAACCTATTTGGTGTGCAGTGCGTGCAAAAAATGTTCGCTTTGGAGAAGGATCACATCCCTGATGAAGAGCTCGTCGCTCAAACGAAGTACGTCGAATGTCTCGTGAAGGTCTTCCTGTGCTCAATATTATCAACTCATTCAGCCTCCTCACATTTGCCGCGTTTGATACGACTACAACTGGACTCTCCCGGGTTCTTCATGTACTAGCGCTCCATCCCGACGTGTAGGAAAGACTGAGCGATGAGATACGCCAAGCAAAGACCACCACCGGCCCGACATCCCTCAATTCAAGTCTCGCCTTCCCCCGCTCCCGCCCCTATCTCCACACAAGCATCCCTGTCTGACTTCGCCCGCGACTTCTATGCGGCAGGTGGTGGCCAAGCCGGCGCATCATCCTCTGCTTCCCATCCGACTCCACCCTCATCGTCTTCACCTGCCCTGTCTAGCCGATACGCGCCGCCTCCCGGGCCGTCGCCTCGTTCGCCGTCCACGTCAGGCTCAAGAACTTTATCGTATCCGCCCGCATCGCCCACAATGTCAGAATCCGGATCAGGAGTTCCTGACGATGGGAGACCGACCAGGACGCCGGTGCCCGGGCACCCGCTGTGGAGGAACGGAGAGATGCTGGTTTATCCATAAGGATACGAGTGCCCTAAGTGTGAGTCCACTTCTGAACCGTGTCATGCAGCTACCCCTCATGCCCTCATTTGCGTATAGGTCATAATACCGGCTTCAAGTACTACGATCCCTCGCACCCCTGTTGTAAATGCTGGGAGAAATACTCTCGGCCGTACAGCGGCGCCGTTGCGCACGCCCCCACGAATTTCTCTGCGACACCCACGCCATCCACGTCGGGCAAGAGCTTCCAGCGACCGTTACCGAAACTACGCCCAGCCGGCCCGGGCAGCGACCTCGGCCGTTCGCGGACACAATCGTATGGTCGAAGGCCGGACTACCCCTGCGTTGCCAGCCATCACAGCTACTCGCGCAGCCATCCCCCTGCTGCGGGCGTGCCGGGGAACGCGGCGCCAGGATCGTTAGGTTGTCCTTGACGGGCGCTTTGGCTGATATTGTCCCCAGGTTAGTCCGGGAGACCTTCGGATAGGCGGGCAACTCTGTTGGCGCTGCCAAGGTCGCGGCACCCCCTCCTTCTTGATCTTCGACCAGCAGACATGCTTCGAATGCGGTGGTATAGGTAGGGTTTTCAGGTAGTTATGTAATGATCAACATTGCATCTCCTATATTTGTCAATGGCGGCTCTTCGTTGCATTGCCTCCCGTGCATTCTCGACGTACTCAAGCATCTCAACTGCACGCGCTTTTGTGCACCTTCGTTCCGGCTGTCGTCCTTCTGCCGTGCGGTAGTCGAACGTCGAGGGTGGACGTCAACATCCTGGCCCTGAATCTTTCGAAGTATATCCATTGGAGATACTGACACCGCTTGTTGCTGTTCTCAGTGCATACACGGGTTACATCGACATCGAAGCGAAGCACTTCTTTTTCTACTTCTTCGAGGTACTTCGAGCCCGACACTTCCGTATCGTCACTGGCCCCGAGGAAATACTCAGAGTCGGAATGATCCCAATCAGGACGACGTGATTCTATGGACGAACGGAGGGCCAGGCTGCAGCTCGTCGATAGGGCTTTTCATGGAACTTGGTCCGTGCCTCATCCCCTCCACCGACCACAAAACGGTCTACAACCCTTACTCGTGGAACGGTGTGCATACATCCGATTTGCACAAGTCGTGGACACGGTTACAAGCGTTTCATTCGTAGCCGCGGCGAACATCTTCTTCATCGACCAACCCGTCGGTGTCGGCTTTTCATACGCCGAACACGGCGACACGTCGCGAGTCCACATGCCTCCGGTACTTCCGAATATACACTCATGTTATCCGTAGGACACGAGCGAAGATGCCGCTGCGGACATTGCCGCCTTTGTCGTGATCTTCTTCGAGCACTTCCCGCAGTTCAAGGGCCGAGGGTTTCATATGGCGGGCGAGTCGTACGGCGGGCAGTACATCCCAGTCTTTGCCTCAGCCGTGTACGACCAGAACGTGTTGCTGGTCAAAGCGGGGATGATCCCGATCAACCTGACGTCTATCATGATCGGTGAGTGCTCGTCATATATATCCTCCTTTCGAGGTGGTGAATATGTTGCAGGCAATGGTGTGACGGATTACTATACCCTGATGCCGTCGAGGTACGAGATTATGTGTACGACCGCGTCCGTCAGCCCAATTTTGCCTATCGCGTAAGTGATTTCTCACTTGATGTCCGTGGCCAAGTATGATGTTGACCTGCAAATCAGAGATTGCGTTCGTATGAAGCAGGCAGTATGTATATCCTGGGCTCTTGGACCTACCCTCAATACTTCAGCTGACCCCTGAAGCCAGGTTCCCCGATGCGTGAAATGGATGAATGAATCTTGCGTGGACCAGTTCGATGCGATCAACTGCGCAGCCGCCGAGAGCTTTTGCGGCACCGAGATAGACGACCCGTTCCTCGCGACCGGTACGCGCTCGGTCCCTCCTCACAGCTCAAAGAGCGTTTTAGCTGACCCTGCTGCCCTTTAGGCTTGAATCCGTACGACATCAGTAAGGAGTGCGACGGGCCCCTCTCGGAGACACTCTGCTACCCGATCACGATGGACATCCGGCACTACCTCTCCCTCCCCTCCGTCCGCACCGCGCTCGGCGTCGACCCCATCTTCACGGGAAACGTCAGCTGTTGCAACCCGGCCGTCAGCGCCGCGTTCCACGCCGCGATGGACTACCGCCGGCCCACGCAGTTTCACGTTGCGGCGCTGCTCGAGCGCGGCGTGCGCGCGCTCATCTACGTCGGCGCGCACGATTTGGGCTGCAATTGGGTCGGAAACGAGCGCTGGACGCTCGAGCTCGAGTGGACGGGGCAGGAGGAGTTCAAGGGGGAGAAGTTGAGGGAGTGGAGCGTGAACGGCGTTGCGGCGGGGAAGACGAGGAGCGCGCGGGGGTTCACGTTTGCAACGGTGGATGGCGCGGGGCATATGGCTCCGTACGATAAGCCCGAAGAAACCCTGGAACTCGTCAAACTCTGGCTCGCGGGTCAGGAGCCTTGAGCACCCGGTAAGGATGCCAGAGCTCATTTCGACGTAGTGGAGTCAACGTAAGTCGCGCATCTGCAGCGCCCCCCCTCTCGCCTGAGCGCCGTCCATGTCGAGTCTAGCCGCAAATTAAGTTGAATTGAATGTACAGAGCCGTGAATATCACCAAGCCTCGCAATTTTGCAGTCATGAAAGATACGCCTGCGGGACCTCGCTATATGTCAACATTACCAGCCGAATCGTGACTCAAAAAAGTCGCTATGGAAGGATGAAGATGCCGAACGAGCAGAGGGTATGTCTGCCTGATTCATGTCTAACAATTAACACTATCTCTGAACGGTTTGCAAAATGAGCTCACCTGAACGTTACTGTTACCTGCATCATATCTGAGTATTGGATCGCCTGCCACATTTTCAAGAACCTCTGAATCAGGATGCGCAAGACAGGATCTTCTGATAGTGCAGCCTGTACCAAGAGTGGTAGGCATAGCGACTGAATTAGGGTTATGAGGGAGGGCATACGACGGTAGCGTTAGCCTACCCACGGCCCAGCTAGGAATTGAGCCTCAATTCCGTCCAACTCAGATTTGGTCAATTGTAGCCTACATGACTAGAATAGCAGGATATCAAGGGGCAGGGACCATCCTGAGCAAATTTGAATCACAGCGCAGCCGCCAATAAAATGTTTATGATAGACGCCGTGCAAGGCGGTTTGTGAGCCCAATACAATAGCTCTGGGGTCAGTAACTATCTCTAAAAATCGCCCCACTGCACTTCCAGCTGGCGCACATTTTATCGTGATTTATGGACGCGTTTACCGTGGGAAAAACGAATGCGTGGAAGTTTTTAAATCAAAAAGAAATAATACCGCAAGTGCGTCGAGCGTTTTTAAAATCAACGGCTAGGTTAGGCGAGTGCGTCAACGTAACAGGACCTGTATAGAAGATTCACATCGACCCAGAAAAAAAGAAGATATTTTTACACCCAATATCCATCCCACAAACAATATTTTACTCGGAGTGCAACAGGTATATCCGCGTTTATGGGGCGTAGATACACCGATGTGGCAGTGCACCCTATGTCAGTCCATTCACACCGGTCAGATGCATCTACACGAATTTTTCTAGCCATCTACGACCTATCCATGCCCCAGGGTGGAAAACAGGCTGTTTTCCGCCCGTCTCAGATTTGGTTGATTACAGCCTACATGCATAGATTAGCAAGATATCAG